CCCGGCCCGGGGGAAACCCGGGGGGCCCCCCCCCGGCCCAGGGGGGGGGGGAAGCAAAAAACCCCCCCCACCCCCCCCCCCCAAGTTAAATCCCCCCCCCCCCCCCCCCCCCCCCCCCACCGGTCAGACACGTAGGATTAACCCCACCACCATCAGGAAATCTAGGGTTAAGCTGGCCCAAGACACCAGAATAGAAAACGAAGGCCCTCCTTACCTCAGGTTTGTGTTGGTGTACGTGTCGTAGACTCCCTTGGACAGGTGCTCCTCGTCTTTCCCGTCCGTAAGCACAAACTGGAAGAAAATCGGGGGAAAGAGACCACGAAGAAGATGGGTTTGTGGGCATGCAATGCGGATGCCCAGACCAGCACCGGGAACCACTATCAGGAGAGGTAGGGACACAAACAAGGCACGGACCCGGTTCTTCAACGCGAACTGCTGCCAGCCTGAACCGACAAAAAAATATTCAAAGGTAGAAACAAGATGAAAGACTGGGGCGGGTGTGTGAATAGCCATAGGCGAGGCATACTGGTTGTGCTGACGACAAATACGCTTACACCGCAAAGAAGCCCAACCTGACACCAACATCCACACTTAACGGCCTGTTGTTCGTGTTGATGTCGCCCTCGTTGCTCGGCCGTACGATTTGGGTATCTTGACATCCTCTCTTCCGGTTGATCGAATACCATGGTACATGCACACATACCTGGCCCCTCTTGCCCATGATGATGGCGGTGCCGGTGTCCTGACATCCCGGCAGCACCATCCCCGCAGCGATGTTGGCATTCTTCAACAACTCCAGGGCAACAAAGCGGTCGTTCTCTGAAGCCTGACCCAGAAAAAAATATCAAGGGAGTTCAAATCGATGAAGCGTACAGCGGGGGGCTTCTCATGTTTGGCACCCCTGTAGTTGTTACACCATTGATTACGCTTCCTCGAGAGGGCGGAGCAGTCAGTACAGAACCGTAGAGTGGAGGGTGAATTTCCGTTGCTGCTCGCCTTATTGGTATCACCACTGACCACGCATCTCCATCGACATAAAGCACGGGAATATTCCGCGGGGAAAAAATCGTGTCCAGCGGCGGGGTAACTGCTTCTGCAGAAGCAGGTTGCGACTGCAATCGATCGAACTGTTTTGCAGGTACAAGGTGGGTTCATCAGCGCATAGTACAGTAGCAGTGTCATCAGGGCGTGATGCAAGCTGAAACCAATGCATGTGTTGGTGTGAATCAACTGCCAGCTGTCATCAGTGAAGTTCCCAAGCTCGAGCAGCTCACGCAGCTGGCGGTTTTGACTCGAAGAGCCCAGCGAACCATAACGAACCAAAATAAAAACCTACAAATCTGTACACAGCCTTGATTTCTTCTCGCATGCGGTCGCGTTGGGACCATACCCCACACCGTAGCCCACACCGCCGCATTGTACGTGAACTAGTATAGCATGGTCGGAGAGGACGTTGCCGTGCGTTGCCGGGCCACACGCAGCTGAAAAAACTGGGAATCGCACACGTTAAGCACACCGCTGTGCATGCCTGCTGAAAGACGTGGAACTGCGCAGGACAACCGTGCCGGCGGCCGTCGAACACATCGAGAGCCACGGTATCGGGCCTCGACCACAGCTGCATATGCACTATTATAGTGTACGCCTCACCAACGCGTGTTCTCCTCCACCCTTCCCCAACACACCTTGGAAAGTTGTATAGTAGCCGGAGGTATTGTTGTCGTACACGTTTAGGGAAAAAAACTCCAACCGTCGCCTCCTCACGATCTTCCAACGCATTGGACAGCAGTTGCCGCGTTTGGTGTTTGTACGCTGCCGGCATAGATCAGCCCCAACGCAAAACCTATTTCAACCGATCCCAACCTGATTTCGGCCGAATATTGTTGTGTCATCACCTCGGGGTCTTCCAATATATTGGCCAGCTGCCGTAAGTGGTTGGATCGGAGGAGATGAGCGATATCGACCATTGCCGTGGAGCAGAGCAACCTCAGGGCCTCCGGTGCCACCTGAACGCAGTGGAAAGTATGCAAAAGAACATCGGCAAGTTGGTACTGCTGCACGTATCAAAGAGGCACAACAATCACACCACATCCGTCATTCGTTCGTGAGAAACGGCTACTGCGCTGTTCGTGACTGCTCTACGCGAAAAACGTTCTACATGTAGAAGGGCAAGAACAGCCCCTTGGCCAATGTCGAAACAACCCGGCAAGCATCTTGATTCCTCCTAAGAGAGCTGTCGCCGGCGCGCGCGCATCCGAAAAAATGCCACCCTACCTTGAGGAACTCTTGTCCGTCGGGACCTTTGACGACGCTTACGCCTTCCGAAGACAACTTTCGATACTGTGAACGGGGGCATGCCGACGGGGGGAGGGTGGGGATGGTCACTTGATGCTGGCGTGCGGATGCTGTTCCACTTGGTCTGCTCGGCTGGAGGAGTCAGCGCAGTGTAGCAATACCGACAAAACCTCGAATCTGCAGGGAAATACAACGGGATTGTAGACCACCAAAGCCGTGATTGGCGAAGCTTCGCAGGTGGATTCCGTCAATCCGCTCCACACACACCATCTTTCGCTCAACGGCCCAACGTATGTAGGTGCGCAGTGTTGTACTTGTAGTAGGACAGCAGGCAAACCGGTCCAGCAAGCCCAATGAGTCAAATTTCAGTGTGTCATGTGTATTCAATATAGACTTTTCGTTGTCTTGAATCTGGAGGGTAAACAACCCTCTTCGGGCTCCCATTGCCCCACTGGCACAAACTTGGCAGCACTAAAGTAACGGTCGGCGGTCATCGGCGGCAGCATCAGCTGGTTTGCATCACGGGTCAATGAAACTTCGGGTTAACGGCGGGTTCATGTCCCAACTGCCGGTGTGGCGTAGCTTTGCAAGTGTCCTCAAATGTCCAACCTGAATCGAGCCCGGAGAGCGACGGGCTGGAAAGCAAAAACTGCAATGCTCATACCTCGGTCGGTTCATCTCTAGGAGTAGCCCCGTACTGAAAGAGGGGCTTGTACTCGAACTCTGCGGTAGTTCCGAAAGCGCGCCTCTGCTGCTGCTGCCGCTGCTGCGGGTGCACAAACGTTCTTGAACACTCAGCCGCAGGAGCTCGGAGAGAGGCTGAGGAGTACGGTGCAACCGCTGCAGCTGCTCTTCTACGTCCTATCACTGAAGAACGAGCGAGCAAGCTGGCTCCCAGTCCACGCTTCAAGTGCAACGAACCCATCTCTTGGTTGGTGCTGTGTGCTGGGCAGGAGTGCGCAGCACAAGTGTTGAGAGAAGCGGTACAACCATGGGGTTCTGGGCGAGTTCCAGGTTGCCATTCGGACGGCCCGTAACCGCTTTTTTTTTTTTTCGTTCTCTCCTACTATCTCTGTCTCCGTTGTTCTCCAAACTCGTAACAAGCGGAGGTGTGTTGACGTGCACGCAGGGAGGGTGCCAGGGAGGGGGAGACGCGGCAGCCTATAGCTTCTTGGGTAAGCGAATGTCAATGCCATCGCATCTAGTACGCTGGGTCGAGCCTCGGCAGGCGTTTCAACGAGCAATCAGACCGTGCTTTTTATATCTTGGCGGCGCATTTACTGCTGTAGTGCCTTCCCGGACGTCCCGGAGTCCGACCATAAAGATCGTGCCAACGACATCAATCGTGCTGTGTAGTTTGTATCGTTCAGCACTCTCACACACACTCATGATGCAGTGCCTGGGGAAAAAATGCATGTTGAAGTTGTGAGATTCGTCTTACATCAGCTTACGCAGTCTGTGACTACTGCTAAACAGGTTTGGCCAGGTTAGGCTTGCCGTAGGGATGTTGCGTCTGCTGTTGTGCCCCACGTGGAGATACCTCTGACTGCTTGCAGTGCAAGTCTCGAACTCTACAAGTAGGGCTTGGAGACTCAGTAAGGTTGTGTACGCTCTTTCTTTCAGACCAGGGCTTGCCTGGATCCCTCTGTTCTCCGGAGATCCGACCACATGTTGCTCTGCATCAGCGTGGACGTGCGCTATATATTTCTACCGCTACCGCTACAACAGAGACCTTTGGGTATCTGAGTTATACTGGACCTCCGAGAACGCCACCCCTGGGCCGCACCTTCTTTACGGCTGTTTTTCTCGAGAGAGTTACGGCTGTTTCTCTCGAAAGAGAGTCCGAATGCATGTATTTTACGAAGTCTAGACTATCCCACAGCGATGCTTGCTGATGACGCAACGTTGAGTGACCAAAATTGTTGCTGTCATTGTTGCTGTCAATCAGGTGTTACGGCTTGGCTTGTATGCATGTTGCACCACGTACGTTTTTCCTATGATAACCAAGGAGAGAACTATGACCAATTTAACTCAAGATCTTCCCGACAGACTTTGGGATTCAGGCGCTAAAGAGCCGAGCTCCGGAAAGGACTCACCCCCCACATCCCCGCCTGGAGTTGATCTCGATCTCTTCCGAAAGTGGGCCTGAGACCCCCGCCGCAAATCACACAATTTTTTTGGGAGCTTTGCAAAGTTCAGAATTCGTTTGATGCTGCTCACAGCGGCATGGCTGAAAAAGAGCAACCAAAACGTCCGCATCTTGCTTACTGCACATATCCTACAGCAGCAGTCCTGCGCTGCACTTCAACATGCCCCCATGATGGTTGCTATGTCATATGCCCTCCAACAACTTCATCGTTGCTCTACACCTACTATGCTACTCCTAGAGCGTACTGAAGTGTTGTATAGAAAGGGTTGGTCAAGAATAAGAATATAATAGGAGCGTTCACGTCGTCATCGGCAGCAGGTATGACAGGGTACCGTACACGGCTGAGTAAAAAGCAGTGTGAGAGCATGATTTAGGTCTGAAACTGGACCGGGTCATGAATGAAATCCCCGGGATTTTCGGCTCTTCCTCCCAGTTTCTTTTTGTCCTTCACTCGCCGCCGGCACGAAAATGTTTGTTTGGGGCATGCGTGCCCTTATTTGTTCCCGGGCTACTTTTTCGTCAATTTCGAGGATTCTTGAACAACTCGGAAATTCTTCTTCTCGCTGCATTTAGATGAACCTCCATTGTATTGATTATGGCTACGTTGGATCAGCCTGAAACTGTTTTACCTTGCTCTCTACAAAAACACATGTGAGTACCATCATTTAACGGAAATGAAATCCCCCGTTCCGTGTGCGAACGAACCAAACAAAGGATCCCAAGTGCTTTTTGCCGCGTCTCGGCCGGTCGTGGGGTCGCACGCGGAGGGACATCATCCTGGCTATCGTTCTGTTCCCGCCGCATTGCCGTTGCGCAATGAAAACTGCGCTCCGGCGCTAAAAGAGACTTCAACGCCAAAGCGCCAGCGCCGTCATCCCACTTCGACTTACGAAAAGCAAATCACCACGTGCACGGGGATCTGCCAGGCCGGACGCTCGAGGGGGCGGTTCGAAGCTACCTTTGTGCCCGGAGAATAACCCTTGGGGGTGGAACCTTTGGTGCACAGAATGGCAACATCGAGGAAGCCTGTTTCTTCAAATACGAAGAAGAGCACGCTGGTCGATGACACCGGCGGCATGCCTGGCGGGGGTGCTGGTCTCCACCAGATGGTGCCAAGGAACGTCAATGCAGATCGCTCCGGATCAAGAGGTGCCCGAAAACATGGTCAGAAAGGCAAGGACGAACTATTTTCTTTCGACAAACAAAACTTGGATATTTTCTCGCTTCCGGCGGGGGCAGCGGCCGGAGGCGGGGGAAGAGGAATACGAGGTCTCGCAGGCTCACGGAAGGCTAGACCTCCAAAGCCATTGCATTCAACATCGAGCGATCCGGCAGCTCCCAAAGGTACGGAAGGCGCGACCACAACCGTTGCCGGAAGCCTGAGCAAGATTTTCACCCCCCAGCCGGCCCAAGCCGCCATCGCAGAGTCTCTGAGTGTCAACAACGCCACAGGTATGCTCCTAGGGAGTGATACGCAGGTTTGTTGCGATCAACTCTCCAGTTCCTGCGTTCTTTTCAGGGTGTTAACATATTTCTCACCCAGACCCACGTCAAATCGCAACCAACACACACAGCAACGCTGAACACAGCAGGGTTTAGTACCTATTTGGTTGCTGAGACGAAATCCCACCGATGGTTTCGTAGCCGTGTGGCAAGTGGTGTTTGTTCTTCTACGATTCTAAAAGGTATACATGATTTGGAGGTGTCTTCGCGTTGAATGAAATCTTGAAACCAAGGCGGGCAAGAACACGACGATGAAGGCGCTGGCGAGAGTGAAGAAGGGGCCGTTACCGCTGGCCCCGTCGCCGGCCGGCCGACCCAGCCGGCGTTCGTCGTCAGCGGCCTAGCTGCCGTGATCAAGGATGTGCTAGCGCATCCCGGAGGGAAGGCATCCGGGGAATCGGCGGCGTTCTTGAGGGTTCTTGCGCAGATGTCGGCCGATGATGTCAAGTCCCCGGGCCCCGTAGCCGACCACAACGTTGGCGGTGGCGGTGAAGCAGCTGGAGGGGACGGCTCAGCGGATGGGGCAAGCGCCGACCATGGAGGTGCCGGTGTCGCGGCCATCGACGACGCTGAGACCTTTCACCTAAAGACGGTGCGAGATGTTGCAGTGGAGTAGGTGGCGGTGGGGTGCTTTGTTTTCCGGAGCCATTCAACTAGTACCGTTGCGTAGAAAGCATCCTAGAAGCACAAGCTGTTCGTGTCTGCTAATGCCAATCCCTTCCGTGGCAGGGAGATGACGCAATCAACTTCTTCGCCCAATACGGAGCAAGTTCTCCGATCAAGTTCGTACATCTGGTAAGGGCCAACAAGGGCCACGACTTCCCCCCATACGATCTCGTCGTGGTAAACCCGCGCGAGTGCTCGGGCGACTATTACTTGATGAGCTCGGCCGGGTTGGTGCACGTGTGCCACGGGGAGCCCAGCGAGTTCACTCCCTTGTCGGAGTGGATGAGACAGAGCACGATGTTCAACATGCTGCAGTCCATCCGCTTCTTCAAGTGCTACCTGCACTCCAAGTGCTTCAAGCTGTGGAGGGACAACGTGCGGTACAAGCTCTTCTGCCAGCAGAGGAGGAAGTTGTCTCACCGCCTCTTTCTTGCCAAGGACAGCTTCGCCGGACCTTACGTTGAGCTGAGGCGGCACATGATCGACTTGCAGGTGAAATTCTCTCGAACACGAAGACAACTCTATATCGATCTCTATGGATCTTGCCTGGGGTAGGAGATGGTGTAGATATTTATCATCTCGCCAAAAATCAAGCGCCCAAACAAGCACTGTCCAAGGGGCAGCGTTGCCCATATCACCACTCCAAGGACAACTCTAGGTCAGCAACCGAAGATTCGGGATGATATAAAATACACATCCCTCAGATGCCGCTCGGCCGAACATGGGCAGTACGTCAAGCAGTATGAGCAGCGGCAGAATCAAACTTGTTTTCTTCTATCAAACAGCAGTGGAGAGACGTGTACCTGAGATCATCCATGACCATGACTTGCTACCCGGGCGCACACTTCTTCTGAAAAAAACATCTCGCCATCAACCAGGACATTGCGCTCTTAGACCTGGACGCGATGAAGACGTTCGAGCGAGCGCAGTTCATTGAATACCAGAACGCCCGGAGAGTCGAAGCAGCAAAGGCGTTGGAATCGAGCATGGAAAAGGTGAGACGCTGACGTCCGCGGGCAAGCGAATGCGACCACATGTAGGGATTGTGCCAATCTGAAAGTTCTTGCAGGTGTTTCCTTCTTGGCTGGCACTACGTGTCAACACGGAGCGTTTCAGACCTTGCGAAAGAATCTCTTCCTTCTGGAGCGCGGCCGAACCGATTGCCAACTCCCCGACGACCCAGGTTGGTGCGGTGGTGCAAAGGGTGTGCGCCCACGTGACGGGCCTTCCTAAAGCGGCGGAAGTGTCGGAGAGTCCACTGGACAAGATGTTCGGTGGCGTGGGGGACAAGGGGAAGAGTCTGGTCGCTCTGAAGGAAGAGGCGGCCGAGAGGAGACGGATGCTGCAGAGAGCGGCGGAGGAAGCCGGTGAGTTTTCTTTCTGTCATGCACGCCTGTTGTTCGGTGTATGGATGTCCGTGTTGGTCAGTGTTGTGTTTCAACGGGGTAGTGCGCTCCTCTTCCTTCACAGCCCTCCAAGCCCCCACCCACCGCCTCGTGCTTGGTGATGTGCTAGCCTGGGTGGTTAAAAAACCCGGCGTGAGGTCATTGGTCTACGGCATGTAAGGCTAAGAGTACATACTTCGTGATAGCGGGCGCAACCTCCATTCTCGGTGCGTTCATCCGCTAACAGGGCCCCGTCTGCGTGTGTCCGTCCTTGTCTATTGCTCGACAACGAAAGGAATGCTTGGTGACTTCATCCGACTTACCGACTACGTGGCCGTGGAGGCTCTCGTCAACCTCACCGTGAGAACCAACGAGATGTTTCTAACGGAGCTGCTCAAGCCCAGGAAGGCAGGGCTGTTCGAGACAACGGTCCTCTTCACCGACGAGGGGACAGCGTTCGCGCCGACCTGCGAAGATATAAAGGTCGGGCGTATGGGCAACAGATGCCTCTCATCTTGCACAGAGATAGTGATCCATCGCCCATCATGCCCCCACGGCCCCCTTCTCTATTGCGCCGCCTGATATGGGAGCCTCCTCCCACTGCAGGGGCATTGTTCGAGCCCTCTTGGCAGTTCTCTGAATTTTCTCCTCGCAAGACGGAGTGATAAGACTGCAAAACGGCGGTTGTTAACGGCCTGCTGGTTCCATCCACTTCCTTCGTTCATCCTACTGTAATGTACTCCCGTAGGACATGGTGACGGCCATCACAGAGGCCGTGATAAGCACCGTGAACGGGGTGGGCCGAATCCTGTACCTGCGGCCGTTCAACGAGCACGTCGGCACGTCGGTGACGGACGGGCCGAACATCCAGGACATCGTGAGGGGATCACGGGCCTTCCGAACGACGTCGGCTGAGATCAGCGGGAAGGTCGAGGCTGATTTCGCCGAGGCCGAGGTAACACATGGAGTAGGTGTCATTACTCACAGACGAAATTGAATATTGCCACATGGAGTTTGTGTTGTCGCTCGCAGAAAAAATTGAGCAGTGCCACATGGATTTAGTGTCGTGGATTGCAGACGAACTTGGGCAGTACCTATGCTTGTGTTCGCCTCGTACAATGGATGTTGAAATCGTTTCGGAGTCAACACATGGATTGAAGACCACTGCGTTTTGTAGAGATCAAGGCGGGTTCGAAAGTAAAAGCTAGCAATATGAAAAAAATGAAATCTGCAACATCCTATACTTGCATCCCATTGTCGTCGTCCCTTCGGAATGGAGTTCATCTTGGGTTGGTGGCATTTTTTACTCTCCCCCCATAGTATCCCCCCCCACGGTGTGGTTGGGTTTTTGTCGCTTGGCAACGACGTTGTATAACAAGCCGCCCCCTCGGTGCTTGCCATTGGGATTGGGTTTTCGTCACTTGGCAACGACGTTGTAAAACATGCCAATTCACTTCGTGAACTCGGCAACCAGGTTACCGTTTCTTTTTTTTACCTCTTTCCTTTTTTGCGTTATCCATAATGGTGGCCGAGTAGATCATGTTGTGCGGGGTCGAGAATCCTTACTCCGCGCAAGGGGGATGATCGCACCACGTTGTGCTAAAATGGTCAAGCATCTTCGAGGCAGTTGCACAGTGCGTACAACTGTCTCTGGAAGTGAAAGCACCAGAAAATAAATTAAGTCATACGCAGCTGTCATCCGTACGCAGGGAAGTAAGCACAAGATGCCGAACACCCTTAGCAGGATGCAGCTCGCCCTTCATGCAACTCGCCGAATACCTCACGGCGCTTCGCGCTTGGTGATGTGAGAGCCTGGTCCGGTGAGAACCCGGCGTGCTCCGTCCCGGCTTTGTAGGGATGCGAGGTCAATGGTCTAACGACTCCGGCATGCACGACTATGAGTACAACCCCGCCCCCCATAGTATCCCCGTCCACCAAACCGTTTCGCATGGCAGTGAAACCTCTTCCCCTTGGGATGAATCTTGCCATCTGTCAGGAATACGTGGTAACGTTCGACAGCGTGCGCCCGATTTTCGAGTACAGCCGCACCTGGGACTTCAGAGCGTACAAGCTGCAACAGCACAGCGTCACGACGCTGCGGGAGCAGATGCAGCGCATCGGGGTCTGGGTGAACGAGCTCGAGAAGATGCGCGCTCGGCAACCGTGCGGGACGCTGGAGGTGGAGAGCCGCAAGCTCAAGCAGATGCTGATCCCCATGACGGAGGAAAAGATGGACCAGATGAAGACCCTCGTGAAGGATCTGGCCAGGTCAAAGTGCAAGGAGCAGCTGGAGAAGTACAAGTCGCGTCTGGCCACTGTCGCACAGAAGCCGACGCACCTCAAGGACTTCGCGGGGTAAGTGAGGACAGGATGGCGCTGATCGAGCGATTGCTTCACAGTCTTGCGGAGATCAGCACGTCGACAGAGTCTACCGGCCGGCTAGCTGAAACAGACCTTGAGTTTTCCACGGGTACAAGAGGCTCCTCTTCCCCACACGACAGAACCCGTGAATGGAAGGATGGCGGAAGGCTCGAACTTGCCACACTTCATAAAGTGCAAATAGTTTCCGGAGTGCATGCAGTTGAACCTTGACCCACGGCCATGGCACACAACACGGGAGAGGTAGAGGTTGGAGGTTTTGGGAAGGGGGATAGGAGAAACTCTATTGCGCTTGGCTGGGGGGACGGACTACTCACGCGGCCATTGACATTGATTTTTGACTGCACGTCCGCCATCTGCCTACACGTTGGTTTGGACGCGTTACACCCGCTCACACGTACTCGATCATGGAATATTGCTAGGTATGTGGAGCAGCTGGAGGCTCTCAAGTCTCAGGAGAAGACGATCACAAGGAACGCGCAAGTCGTGGAACAGATGTATGCGCTCCTGGCCCAGTACGATGTCAAGGCCCCTTCAGAGGACATGGTGCAAGTAGACGACTTGCGCACCATACAGGTGGGATCTATTACACAATCAAATATGAGAGGGCGATGTCTACGGTTCAAGAATGCCGTCCAGTTTGCCACAAACGTCCTTCTCGATGTCCTTCTCCAATTGTCGTTGCCGACTACTGGGTTTTTCAAGACTGTGCTTTTAACAGGTACTCGTTGGCCCAACTCAGTGGCAAACCAAGCCAGCACCGCGGTTATCTGAATTGTTGCTTCCTTTGTACTTCGTCATGCGCGACACAGGCGCAATACCAAGAGAGCATGGAGTCGGCCAGGGACGAAAAGGAGAAGCGCATGCCCGACATGGTGCGCGACCTCGACACTAACATCGCTCGCCTCAACGACCAGCTGGTGCAGCTGGGGGCATCTCTGGACGAAGGGGTTTTCGTCGATGCCGCGTGCTTTGGAAACCCGGGGCTGGTCCTAACAGAGCTAGATCGGGTAAAGCAGAGGCTGGCGGCCGTGGACACGCTGGCCAAACAGTACTCGGCTTATCAGGCTCTGTTTGGAATTACCGTGTACAGGTAAAGGTTGTTGTGTTATTAGTCCAAAAATGCTACATGTGCGAGCCACGAGTAAATGGGTTCGAGATCGGACACGGAACACACGTTTCACGGCTAAGATAACGTTTCAAAATATGTGAAGATATGCCAGGTGGCGACTACGCCTCCTCACTGCCGGCCCTGATCTCATCCGATATCACGTGGTCGTACGCATCCACACGGACTAGAGGTAGACTAGAGGCAAAATATCTGCTGAAACGTTCCAACGGGTCCAGGTAGTTGCATATCGTTGGATAAATTTCGGGATTGTTTCAGGCGACACGCGGCTTGTCTGCGACATGGGGGGATGTTTGACCGAGGGATGGTTGGTGCCCAGAACACAACGTTCGACCTCATCGCCTGGGTTCGCGCTTTGGCGCGAGCATCTTGATTCCTGAACAAATCCCCCAAAACAAGATTCACATCGGCCTGACCCTGGTACAACCGAAGTTAGGTTGGAACCGTTTTACCTTGACTTCTTTGGTGGGGTAACCGTGTCCCCTTGTCCCGCACCTCTCTCGAAAACGGCAGCTACAAGAACCTGACCAAGGCCCAGGACAAGTACGATCAGATGGATGGGCTATGGCAGACGATTTCCAGATGGAACGAGAAATCCGACTCTTGGATGAACGACCCTTTCACCTCTGTCGACGCGGAGGCCGTTAACACCGAGGTCCAAGTTTTCGTCAAGGACGCTTTTTCGGCGCACAAGAAGGCGAGTGATGGTAAACCCTCAAGATCCAGTATAATGCTATATATACTGCAGGACAAGCTATTTCGAATAGAGCATATGCTTCCCTACAGTGCCACGGGCGAAGCGTTAGGCAGTTTCCATGGGAATTAATTCAATAGTCATCGTCAGACTTATGTATTTAGTTTTGCTCGCGTCAGGCATTGTCGCCTATTGTTGATGCTGTTGGTGCTGCTATGTTGATGTTGATGTTAGTGTTGTCGTTTTCGTCGCTTACATCGTTTGCTGTGGTCATTTATTGCTGCTTGTCACCTTGTGCGCATGAAAAGGCCAATTTCTGCTCTTATACTGTTAATCCTTGCGCCAGATGAGCTCCGAGGTGACGTCCAGGCTAAAAGAAGCCACACAAGAGTTCAAAGCGCAGCTTCCGGTCATCGTGGAGCTGGGCAACCCGGCCATGAAGCCTAGACACTGGCAAAAGCTATTCAAGGCTATGAACCAGCCCTATTACCCCGATCTGGTGTTTTCCTTGTCGGAGCTGCTGGATCACGGGGTCGCTCAGCACGCAGAACTCGTCAGCGAGATCAGCGCAGCCGCCAGCGGAGAGGAGCAGCTCAAGGAATCCCTTGTTGGCATCAGCAAGGCGAGACCTACGCACAGCACATCTCGTGTATGTTTGTTTTTTTATGGGGCACAGAACGTCATTACCGCGCTCGCTTGCCGTGCTTGTGGCGTTTCTCACAGAACGGCAGTTCTACCATCACGTGTCATGCCACGTCTCCCTTTCCTCTCCGTCTCTCGGGCGTGCTGGGTGGTGTCGAGGTCTCGTGTTATTGTTTCTGTTGTTGCTTGGTAGGAGTATAGTAGCAGAAATAACAAGCCTTTTTCTTTTCTGTCGTCGTCGTCGTCGTCGTCGTCGTCGTCGTCGTCGTTGTCGTTGTCGTTATTGAATGGCTGTTCCTTATATTGTCGTAACCCGTTTATGGATTGTTCATCAGGGTTGGGAGGAGACGGCCTTCATTACGCTAAACCACCGCGAGCAGCCGGGCGTGTTCATTCTCGGAGGGCTCGAGGAAATTCTCATGGTCCTGGAAGACAACCAGGTCACGCTGCAGACCATGATGGGCTCGAGATTCATCATGGGTGTCAAGGACGAGGTATGCCCAAAAGGAGATGAGAGGACAACAAATAAATGTCATCATGACACCGTGCCTTAGTTTCACGTTATTTCTCCGACCCTCCGGACTGGAGCCCTGCGGTTGAGAAAGGGCTGCGGGGGGCACGCGACGGGATGGCAACGTCCACAACAGACGATGGGACTAAGCGTGACACAGTTCCAACATTTTGCCGCGTGTTCTGGACAATGTCGCACATCAGTTGGTTACGAGTTTCGTTGACGTTGAAATCGAGGGTTAGTCTCACCGAACGTTCGTACCATCGCCACGTGTTGGTGCAGAACCCCAAGAGCTGATGCTAGCCCTATTGTCCTCCTAACACAATTTTCAGTGCTCTTGCGTGCTTTGTTTGTGTGTTTCGTTCATATGCATATGTAGGTCGAAGCGTGGGAAAAACGTCTCGGCCTTCTCAACGAGACCCTGGACGAATGGGTGGCCGTGCAGCGGAATTGGATGTACCTCGAAACAATATTCTGTGCCGAGGACATCCAGAAGCAGCTGCCGGACGAGGCGGCCAAGTTTCAGGCGAGTCCTGTTGCGCTCTACTCGATAAAAACAATACAAACACCTCCATGCGCACACTAGAACGTCTCTCTAGATGTTCTGACAATATTTCAACATATTGTTTGGGTTTGTTGACATCATTTTAGCGGTGCACATGCTCGACTTGGTCGGTTTGTGCCCAAGGGCGCATCGAATCGGGGCCTTTCACATTTGACTGAAGATGGCGACCATTGCCCGAGAATGGCCAAGGCTTGAGAATAGAACGTCGGGGCCTTGTATAACCACGAAAATATGTCATTCTTTTTCCAGAAGGTGTTCGTGTCTATACCAATATCACGGCACCATCGATGAGAGCATGATCGATATCACACCTCACCGCCCCCTTCTATATTGCTCTATCACGAGAAAGACCTCCTGCTACACCCCCGCTTCCGTGCTGCAGGCGGTGGACAAAATGTGGAAGTCGGTAATGTTGGCTACCAACAAGGACCCGCTGGTGCTAAGCTGCGTCGGGGAGGGAAAGACGTACCTCGCGGATTTTCAACATGCGAACCAGCTGCTGGAGGAGATTCAGAAAAGCCTCGAGGAGTACTTGGAGACCAAGCGCATGGCTTTCCCCAGGTACACCCGAAGGCGCACGACGTTGTCGGTGTTGGTGTGTTATTGTTGTTGTTGTTGTTGTTGTTGTTGTTGTTGTCGTCGTCGTCATCCACCATTCTTTGAGCAGTCGACTAGAATTCGATCCAGACAGCAAGCTCCGCACTCGCGCCTAAAGGAAACATGGAAACCGAACGCGTTAAATCAAACGCAAAAAACACAAGTTTAAGACTTGTGAACAGCCTTGGGAAGACAAGCACCTGAAGCAAGCAACAATGTATCGTCACGGCCCTGTATCATGCAGGTTTTTCTTCTTGTCGAACGACGAGCTGCTGGAGATCCTCTCGCAGACGAGGGACCCCCGCGCGGTGCAGCCACACATGTCAAAGTGCTTCGACGCCATCAAGAGCATTCGCTTCGGCGACGGCCCTGCAGAACATGACATCTTCGGCTTCATGGTAAGGGGCCGGTTTTGGGTGTGGTTGCTTTCAAGAGCGAGCGGGGTTGACGTCTAGGGTTTGGGTTCCACTTGACCATGGTGTGTTCCCACCGCACGTGCATCGGAAAATGTAAACCTCGTTTGCTCGTGAAGGCGTACACCAATTCTCGACTAAGTTCCGTTTCATGCCGTTTTTTCGGTCGTGTGCCAATTCTTCTTGCCAGTGGCTGTCTTTCACTTCGTTGCGTGCGGCAGTCTTCTTTTGTGTCGTTTCGTCCTCGTCCATGTTCTGAATACAACAAACATTACCCAGATATTCTGATCTCCTGCGCACTGTCGCTCCCTATCTCCCCCCCGAACCCTTCGTTTCCGACACCTAATCTCTCTGCACTTGAAATAACACTGGCATCTTGTGCCCACCTTTGAAGGACCCCGGTGGGGAGTACGTGGCGTTTACCCGAGGAGAGGTGACCGCCGAGGGGCCAGTCGAGTCTTGGCTCGTCCAGGTGGAGAAGGCTATGCGAGACGCGCTGTACGACAACGCCAAGAGAGCGGTCAACGAGTACCCCAAGGGCAGGGAAGCCTCTATCCGCAGGGACAAGTGGCTGTGGGACTATCCAGCTCAGGTTGGTTGCTTCTAAGGACCCACATGCAAAGCCGTGCCTCTCCTTGGATTATGAACCGAGCCAGAACGAGGGAACTCCATACGCTTGCAAAGTGATTCCCGCTGCGACTCACACGAGGAACTGAACCCGGAAACTCTGTGCACATCGGGTGAATTCACCATGCAAATTGTTGTTCTTACGGGTTAGCCTGCGATGGGCTTCAGCCCAACAAAGACTGTTGTGCTGGCTTGATTCGCGAGCTTGAAACGAACCCCGAGCCTCCCCTATGCACATCCCGACGCCGCAGGTGGTCATCGTCGTCGACGAGGTTATGTGGACCGGAAACCTCGGGTCCTCCATCCTGAGGGTGCAGCAGGCCGGCGAAAACGCCTTGCCGGACGAAACCGTTGTCGGGACCGAAAACGCCAAATCTTTGCTCCTCGAAAAGATGCCCGAGGGCGATGACGTCGCCGTCGAAGGTCCGCCGGAGGCCGCGGTGCAAACCTTCCTAGACTACAGCTTGGAGCAGATCGAGGCTATGATCGACCTCGTGAGGGGAGATCTGGACAAGTGAGACAAACGTGTCGTCATCCGTTCGGAAACCCCCGACTTGTGTCAAGCATTTTCCGACCACAAGGGCAAATAGGGTATCAATTCCATTTTTTGCGCCTCTACGTTCTTGACATGGGAGAGTTATTGAGAGGTTTCATTTACTCTCAAAACTTTCAGTTGGGGGTTGTAGGAAAAGGATTCGCGACGCAACGCTTTCGAGATAAAAAAGAGTATGGGGACATCAGCAATTGTGTCGTCCTTCCTTTACACAGCGCAACACGTTCTTTCTGGGGTGTCAGGTGTTGCTCACCAAATGGTCTATGCTGTTGGCCCTTACCTCGCGTCTTTTGTCACGAAACAGGCAACAGCGGACGCTGATGGGAGCGCTGATCACGATAGACGTACACGCCCGCGACGTGGTAAGGTTCATGGTGAAGACAAAGGTGAGTGGCACCGCGGGAATGAAAAAATAGCGGAGAGGAGAGGGTGCAGTAGTGACAGAAGGCAGGACGGTTGGATGGGGTTGGTTTGTCTATACGTTGCACCTCAAAGAGACACCCGGACGGCGCGGAAACAACACTGACAATTCGTAAACATCACTTGGACGGCCGCAACCTTCTTCGTCGTAAATTGTCGCAAACATGGTGGCGGAGACAAAATTCCAGTGAGAAGGACGACCCGCGTCTGAACCAGCGCCTCGGAACGAGAAGACAACAAGAAGAGCAAAACAAATTGGGAAACAGTAACAGACCAGTGGAAGGATATCCCTCCCCCCACTTCTCTGTCCCGCGACACGACTTCAGGTGTGCTCCGTGTCGGACTTCGAGTGGACGAAGCAGCTGCGGTACTACTGGGAGGAAGCCGCGGACGACGTCGTCGCCCGGCAGACCAACACCCGCTTCCTCTACGGTTACGAGTACCTCGGGAATGGTCCCCGCCTCGTCATCACCCCTCTCACCGACATCTGCTACATGACCCTAACGGGGGCGCTGCACATGAGACTGGGAGGCGCCCCCGCCGGCCCCGCCGGAACCGGAAAGACGGAGACGACCAAGGACCTTGCCAAGGCCCTGGCCGTGTACTGCGTCGTCTTCAACTGTTCCGACGGGCTGGACTACAAGATTATGGGCCGCTTCTTCTCGGGTCTCGCGCAGCAGGGGGCCTGGGCGTGCTTCGACGAGTTCAACCGCATCGACATCGAGGTGCTTAGCGTCATCGCCCAGCAGGTCCTCTCCATCCAGCAGGCGATCGTGCAGGACGTCAAGACATTTGAGTTCGACGGGAACATGATCCCGCTCAACAAAGGCGAGTTTTTCACTGAGCGATAGCATCCATTGTCTGCTACGGATTATCATTGATGATCTATGTCCGTGTTGAAGAAAACAACGGCTCCCGGGCCTGCAAGGCGGCCGGTGTATCTGCTGTAGTGTTCGAGTCACCATCGTTTCTTGTCCGGATTGAGGGTCTGTTCAATGCCAAGGGACAGTTTGTTTGGGTTGCTTACTTTTGAAGGCCTTCACACGTTGTTGTTCGCGATTCAGCGGTAGTTCACGGAACTCCCCGCCCTAACCCGAATGAGAAATTCTGAAGAGCAACCAACGTCATGGTAAAAAACAGTCAACGAACATGATATATCCAACTGTTCACACCGCGCGACATGGCTCAGGTTTTGGGGTGTTCATTACCATGAACCCGGGGTACGCCGGCCGTACCGAGCTTCCGGACAACCTCAAGGCTCTGTTCCGGCCTGTGGCAATGATGGTGCCGGACTACCGCCTTATTGCCGAGATCGTCCTTTTCAGCGAGGGGTTCACGAACGCTCTGCCCTTGTCGAACAAGATGGCTCAGTTGTACTCCTTGTCCTCCGAGCAGCTATCCAAGCAGGTGCGGCGCTGTCGGGGGTGGAGCATCAAGTATAGAGCTACGTAGATGGGGGCGGGGAGGGGTTGTACGATGACCTAACGGTACTTGGCTAGTTTCCGAACACGCGGGCTCAAGAGACGAAGGCATAGAGACCACAGGACCCATCTGGGAATCCTTTTCCCTCACCCAAAGGCTGTGACTCTCGTTGCTAATATAATAGCTCAATTGAAACGAAGCAAGCAGAGACAACCCGTGAACTGGGCTGGGCACTCTTGGCAAACTGCTCGTCGTTTCGATTGAAATTGACAACCCCGGCCTACGAGGAACAAGACATTCATGCAACACATGTTCTTTCCGTGGGCACAACTCACGCCCAGGACCACTACGACTTCGGGATGCGAGCGGTCAAGTCGGTGCTCGTCGCGGCCGGGCAGCTCAAACGCAAGGAACCCGGGTCCAACGAGGATCTCCTCCTTATCCGCGCCATGCGCGATTCCAACGTGCCCAAGTTCCTGGAGCACGACCTGCCCCTCTTTCATGGGATCGTGTGTGACCTCTTTCCCGGCGTGGTGGTACCGTACGTGGACTACGGGGTCCTCCAGGAGGCCATCGAAGCGGTCCTCGACGACGAGCAGCTGCAGAAGGTCCCCAGCTTCATCTCCAAGATCATCCAGGTGCACGAGACTCAGCTCGTGCGGCACGGCATGATGGTCGTGGGGGAAGCCGGGTCGGGGAAGTCGGCCAACGTCACCGTGCTCGCCAACGCGCTCAGCCGGCTGCACTCCGACGGGGTGGAGGACCGGGACGGCTTCTACAAGCAGGTCGACCGGCTGCACCTCAACCCCAAGTCTATTACGGCAGGTGTGAGAACAGGACGAGTTTAGTTTTGACCAAGCCTCCCTTGTTCACCAGTAGCGGTCCTTCTGCAGGCAGCCATGAGGACTACCACTGGCAATTCTGTCTTTGCTATTCCATAACTTATTATTTTCAGCGCAAGCAGGTCCATCCACTCCAATTGAAACGCGGAGGACGATGACTCGGAAGCGAACATTGACAACACCCCCGTTCGCTCTCTGTTCCTGTACGAAAGCTTGATACAGACGGAGATCGTCGATGCCCGTGCGAAGCGCGGCTTGCGCGGTCTGAGCCGTAGACATTCTCCCAATCATCAAATCAACCCCCGCCCGCCGCGGCCGGCCAGCCACCACAATACAGATATCCACGAGCGCTAAAAATCTCCATGCAGCTTCCTTAAACGACGGTGAGTTTGCTCAACGTTCCCGTGCCAGGTGAGCTGTACGGCGAGTTCAACCTGATGACGAGCGAGTGGACTGACGGGCTCGTCCCAAAGATGGTTCGGCAGTGCGTGCAGGCCGGTACGGAGGGATCAGACAACCGTAAATGGATCATCTTCGATGGGCCGGTGGACGCGGTCTGGATCGAGAACATGAATACCGTCCTGGACGATAACAAGACGCTGTGCCTGGCCAACTCCGAGCGCATCAAGCTCCCCACCACGCTGCATATGATGTTCGAGGCGAGTTGACCGCGCCCCGATGGATAGAAAGTGTGTGCGTGGGGTGTGAGGTTCTTTCGAAGAGGTAGATCGTCAGAGGGGATCGCAGCAGGGAAAGAGCGACCACAGGGGCCCACTTCCCTCAAAAGTACCACCTCCTAGCTGATACGATGGACGATGATTCAAACATTGGAGCTAGCCTAAAAAGGTGACAAAGGCAGAGAAACTCCCCCTAACAATTGTGTTACCAACGACCTCAGTTCTTGCCTATCCCTCAACAAGTACACACCACACGCCCATCATAATACCGTGGCACGACCAGGTCCAAGATTTGAGGGTTGCCTCCCCCGCAACCGTCAGTCGCTGTGGAATGGTCTACATGGAGCAGATCCACGTTGGAATCCGGAGCCTAGTCAGGAGCTGGGCCATTCGCGACTTGCCCGCGCTCTTGTCGGATACTGTGTCGTGGGAGCTCGTCGAATTGATAGAGAGGTGAGACAGCCAGCTATTCCCGCCACAACATGTCGTGCTATTCCGGGTCTGCAACAACGGATATACGAGATCTGTTTGTCACAGTTGTTGACAGCAGAACGACCGTTCTCTGGGCCTGTAGAAGTTTTCATTTCAACCGACATTGAAGAGCAGATATGCCGTTCTTTTGACTCTTGGCAAAATCTTGCACTGCTTATGAACCCGCCTTCGGAGGTTTCCGTTTGAAACAATTTAGTCATGCCCCTCCACTGGGGAGGCTAGCAATCAGGAAGAGACAGGTACGAAGTCTCTGCTGTGTGTTCAATTTCAACTAGTTAAGTGTGTCACAGTCGTTCCACGGAATGTCTTGCCAAATATTGCCCAGAGTTTGACCGAGGGTATCCTCTTGCTCCTCTTCAAGCAACGTCTGATCTCCTCGGTCTTAACTGTGTAGGGATGTAACGAAAATTACAGGGTGACACAAACAAAACGCATCCCAACGTGGAGCGCGCTCCCGCCCCTCCCTGAAGACAACGATACTATCCCTTCACTACCCGGTTCTCTTGCGCAATTCCGTCATCGCGTAACATAGGCACCTGGAGGCCGGCATCACTTTCGTTGGTGAAGAGTGCAAGGAAACGGTACCGTCGAACCCTCACAACCTCGCGCAGTCCCTGCTGAACCTTCTCGGATGCATGCTGGACCCTGCCCAAGGGTTCGACGCTACCCACCCCAACATTGGCACGCTGCTGAGGCTGGTGTTCGCGTGGGCGTTCGTGTGGAGCGTGGGCGCTAACGTAGACGACACCACCAGGTGCAGACGTTGGCAGCAGCCTTTCCTTCAAGACGTCGAAAGGGAGTACCAAAAACAGTCGCACCAAATGATTAGCTTTCATGCTTCACATCTTTGTTTGTCGAATCATGCTTCATGTGATATGTGTTTGTGCACTCCTGTTCAGCTATCTACCCGTTGCTCTCCCCATGCGTGACACCCAAACCCATGTCATATTTCGACAGACCCAAGCTCGAGGCGTGGGTCGGTGACAACTTCCGGTCGCTGGTGGGCAGCGGGAGTCCCTTCCTCAGAGACGTGTACGGCATGGCGGTGGATCTCAAAACGGCCGAGTTCGTCCCATGGACCACGCTCATCGAGCAGTTTGTCTTCGACAAGGACGAGCCGTACTTCAACATCATGGTCCCCACCGCCGACACCACGAGGTATATTGATATGATCTGATGACTAAATCTATAGAGAATAAAACGGGAACAGGTTTTTCGCTATATTCTGCCTCCGGGTCGGTTCTGCTACAGTACCCCGGTGTGGTCATTGTGTACTCAACCACCGCTACACCAGGACAGTACAATGAAAAATGAAGGGCGGAAAATTGTTGCTCTTGTTTGGTGCGCCGTCACTGCCGCACCTGGGCTTCCTTCGTCCGGTGACCCGGGATCTACAAGTTTCAGTGCACGGAAGGTTTGTTTGACACGGCCGTGTAAGCCAAGGCCGATGAATGTCGGACTGCGTGTTCTGAAAAGGGCATGTCAAGGAACACCGAGCCATAATTGGGTTTCCAACAACCTAGAAATCATGATCTTCGATTCTGTTATTTTTCTCGCTTTTTTCCTTGCTTCCCGCCAAGAACAACGGCTCACAAAATATATTTCATATTTCCCTCATCGCCAGGTATGACTACCTTCTCGCTCGACTCACCCGCGGGGGGCACAACGTGCTCTACATGGGAGACACCGGGGTCGGGAAGAGCGTCGTTATGGAGAAGTATCTGGAGAAGGCCTCCAACACGGATGACTTTGTAGCATACACCATGAAATACTCGGCTCAGACCAAACCAACCAATCTCAAAGACATGTTCGAAACCAAGCTCGAGAAGAAGCGCAAGACTCTGTTCGGCCCCCCATCCGGCAAGAAAATGCTCTTCTTCATCGACGACCTCAACATGCCCGCGCTTGAGGTTTGTTGTTATCATTGTTGTTGTTGTTGTTGTTGTTGTTGTTGTTGCCGCTGATGATGATGATGTTTGTTGGCAATATATAGCTGACCATCCGGTTCATTGCTCTGCACCTGGTGTGTACCAACACCGCCGGTGCGTCGCTTAGAACATCGTATACAATTTACCTCCACAGCACAGCATTGTGCTGAAACTGAAGCCGAGTGCTTTTCTGTCGACTTGGTCGCATGCTACAGGTCTACGGGGCTCAGCCCCCCAACGAGCTCCTTCGGCAGGCGATAGACTCCGGTGGTTTCTACGACACCCAAAAACTGTTCTTCAAAGGCATCAAGGACGTTGTTTTCCTGGCGGCGTGCGCCCCCCCGGGCGGCGGACGGAACCAAGTCTCCCCGCGGCTGCTTCGGCACTTTTCCATGGTCTGGTTGACGGCTCTGTCCTCGGGTTCCCTCAACCGGATTTTCCAGGCTGTTCTGGGGGGCTTCCTCCAGGCGATTGTGCCCCCCCTGAAGGATCTTACGGAGCCCCTGGTGGCGGCATCGGTGAAGATTTACGAGCGCATCGCGAGCGAGCTGCTTCCGACCCCGGCGAAGAGCCACTACACGTTCAACCTTCGAGACCTTTCGAAGGTATAGGAGAAATCGACTTTCGCATGCAAATGCGAGAATACGTCGGAGTCGATTTGATCGGATCCGGAATCCTATGCTGACATTTAGATTTTGTTTCTCGACCTTCGAGTGTTGTTGAACCAACGCTACGTTTTGGATTTGTTGGGTGGCAAGCGGCATGCAATCATTTGTTTTGAGAGCTCACGCCATACTTATTCACACTACCAAAGCCAATCATTTCCGACGTGCGAAATGTTCCATGTTCTGTGCCATTTCTTCACCAGGAGCTCAAAATACAATCCGTTTGTGTTCAACGCGCCACTCGTTTCCTGGGTCCTTTCGTTCTTGCGTTCGTCGAAGGTTTTCCAAGGCTTGCTAATGGTGAAGGCGGAACACGCCGACACAAAGGACAAGTTCCTGCGGCTGTGGTGCCACGAAGAGAGTCGCGTCTTCAGGGATAGGCTAATTTCCGCTGAAGATCGGACGTGGTTCAACGGCGCCCTTCAGGTACCTATCTCGGCGGCTGAGGTGTCATTAATGGTATGAACACCGACGGATGAGCCAACATGCTTTCGTATATTAATTCTGAACAATAGCAAGGGATGGTGGTTCAGACCTACTCTCCAAAGACTCATGCGTACGTTTGTTCTGTAAAGGAAATCGTATGAAGGTGTTGGTAGAGATCTACACCCTGAAAGTGAAAATCCGATACTCACATCGAGGTATGCATAGTATTGTCAACGCTCACTGCTCGAGTCATTTCTTGGCCATTTAGGGTATGACACGTGGTCGTTCCTCATTTCCTGCGAGTCATGTGTTGACGTCTAGAGAGTTCGCTTGGGTGGGCCCTTCTTTCTGGCAATTTTTTCGTGATGTCCTTCCCAACACTTCGCACATTTACTGTAGGGTGGTTTGAATGAAGCAACTGTTAGGGATTAATATTAGAACCCACTCCCTGTGGGTCGCTCTCTTCTTCGCGCTTTGGTACTTCGACGGAAACATGCCGAATGCTAGCGACTGCTTCCTTTGTTCTGAAATCCTTCTTCAGCGCTGTGTTGCTCGCGAGTTCATGTCCCGTATCTTTCAGCTCCATTGTGTTCTGTCTCCTTTAGTTTCCGAGTGATTCGTCCGAGGGGCTTCTCCGCCTTACATCTTGGTCTGCCTGTGGTTCATGGATGTTTTTTGCTGTCCGTTCAGAGCGTCCTACTGGAATTCTTGGACGTAGACTGGAACACAGACATGTTCGCTGAGCTTCTTTTCGGGGACTACCTCAACCGCGAGGACAAGGTCAGGCACCTATAATAGTCAACATTGATGCGGATACGAAGCAAATGCCTTGTCGTGCCGTGTAGATTGGTTTCCTAGTTTCGGTTTTCTCGAGTGATTTCTTCTCTGATCGAGGAAACGTACGCAACAGGCTAAACAAGTGGAACCTCGAAGGCATCCGTTGCTGTTGGCGTTGCTACTGGGCCTTGGTTGACGCGATTCGCGCGCTAGTATGTTAATACCTGGCCTGTTGAAGCATAGGGCATTACTGACATGGTAGAATGACCTAAATGGCGGGCGTGCATCGGTCGAATGAAACCATTTCTGCTTGTGTTCGTTGAAACACATGGAACGGGGTGTGTTCAGCAGACAAAACGATTGAGGAAACGCAGTGTCTCCAGGTGTATAAAACTCCCTTGGTCTCCGGCCTCTCAAATTCACTTTCTCGTTCTTCCTATCAACAGCAAACTAACGTGGGAATTATGTTCCTATGAACAACGAACTAGCGTGAAGAACGGATGTTCCAGTGGCAGGTGGACAAAAGAGTAACGATCAGTCAAACCCTATCGCCCAAATTCCCATCTCAATCAACAGAAACCAACCGCATTTGAGCAACGTTTACTTCTCAACGCCAAACGAACGACAAATCAATGACTCGACAATGATGAATGAACGAACGCAATGCGTTGACTTAGGCGTATCGACCAGTGGAAGACCGTGCGCTTCTGGCAGAGGCCCTTCTGGAGTACCTCGAGGAGTACAACGTTGAGTTCCCCAGTCAGATGCACCTCGTCTTCTTCGCCGATGCTGTGGCACACGTCAGGTAACACTTTTAGAACGTAATGCTCAACACGAGGAGGCTTGAAACTAAGATTATGGAGAGTTCGACTACACCATTCCTGGCGGTTAAGTGTATGCGAATGGAACCGTCAGCTTTTTGCACGTGCGAGTGTACACGATCTGGAATTGGCTTCAGTGTGAGGACCCGTACCTTGCGGGAAGCCTCTCAGCGTGGTCAACGGTCGAGCGTACACTGCACTAACGTCGATGGCCCCGTTTATCGAAACTGAGCATCGTTGATCTAGCTGCTGCTTCGGTTTAGGTTCCCTTTGTCGGGACAGGCATATGGTATTCATGCCGCCCACCTCTGTAGCACGGTGTTTATTTGGTACACAACCATCGCCAAACCCATACGATGCTTGAATCAGTGAACAAATCTACGTACATTACATTGAAAGAGGAATGAAAATCTTTGCCCCTTTCATACCATCATCCGACGGACGTGCTGCGCCACCTGGTGTCCGAAAGAGGACATTCCCACGTCCTCTCGTATCGCAGGGGGTGACTGGCCACACGCCCTGTCATTTCGTATAGACTTATTTTTCCCATGGGATACTGTACCCATCATGTGTCTCTCCCCAATGCACCCCCCCGCACCCGTGTACGAACGTTTCAGCCGTATCTGCCGCGTCCTCCGGCAACCGAGAGGCAATGCCCTTCTCGTCGGGGTCGGCGGGTCCGGTAGGCAGTCCCTAACGCGCCTCTCCGCGTTCATCGCGGGGTACAAGTGCGTCAGCATTGAGATCACCCGGGGATACGGCAGCTCGGAATTCCACGACGACCTAAAGGCGGTTCTGATGACGGCTGGGGCGGAGAATGTTCCCACCGTGTTCCTTTTCAGCGACAGCCAGATCGTGGAGGAGTCCTTCCTTGAGGACTTGAACAACGTGCTCGGCTCGGGCGAGGTAAGAGGTACTTGCCTTTTTCCTCGGCATAACGAAGCCCTATATCTTCGTTCTTGAAAGTATGTGCCATAAGTAGTAATATTCTGCAGGTCATGGACGACGGGCTTGGTCCGAGCTAGTCTACGTATGTGGGCAGTGTTGGGGCACGGACCCGGGACACAAGAAAAACAGGCAGAGAGGAGGACAGACCATATGGTATCAGTCAATGCTTCCAGCTCCCCTCCCCCACTCGAAGGAAAAGGGCATAACAGATTTGGCAAATGCGCACATTTATGTAGGTTCCAAACCTTTACGCCGCCGACGAGATGGAGAAGATCGTTAGCCTTGTACGGCCGCTGGCGAAGGCCGCGGGGAAGCTCGAGACGAGGGATGCCATCCTGCAGCACTATGTGCAGCTGGTCCGCGAGAACCTTCATGTCTGCCTGTGCATGAGCCCGATCGGCGCGGGATTCCGAAATCGCTGCCGGATGTTCCCGGCCCTGGTGAACTGCTGCACGGTGGATTGGTTCAACGTGAGACGGCCTTTAGTTTCACTGGTCGAGTGCATGGATTGCCTTCGGTCGAGCCGCGCTGGCTAAGTTCGTTGTGCTGGGCGGGGATGTCTTGATTGTTTGATGTTTCTTCGGCATAGGATACTGGCGGAAGCGGGAGGGAGTCAAGGGACGTGTCCGTGGATCAATCAACGCAGGGTGTACCGTGATTCATTTTATCGTTGTCTATTGATTCTGTTCGACTGATTGATCCTGATTGCATACATGTTCCCCACACGTTGGTCGTTCTCCGCTGACTAAGATATTTGTTTACGCCCACCTTTGAAGTCGTAAGTACCCTGGTCCCAAATCGTGAGCGAACCTTGGACTCGAAGAGGCTACGTCAAGCAGTGCGTTACTGTCTACATCACATATCTGGAAAAGCTTCCGTGTGTTGTTGGAGAAGTTTCGTTTTCTCGTGCAAGCATGGCGAGCAATAGTTCGACGTGAATGCTTCAAAGGTCGTGCGGCGTTCCGAAAATACCGAACCGACGACGGGAGTCTCTATGTTGTTGAATATCATGCATTTGCCCTATCCGTTTGATCCCCCGTGCATCTCACGCCCGTGGATGAGCAATGGCCGACTGGCCGACAACTTTAGAATACTTTTCCCTAAGGAATTCTGCATTTAGAAGGTATATGTAGCTCACTTGCTTCCCTGCAAACGTTCTGAACTAGGATTGCCAACCAGACCCTGACGCGTCCATACCACCATGGAGTACCACCAATTTGCTGATTCGCTGCCCCGGTCGCTGATCAAGATCAAACCGTTCATCCTCTTGATTTGCGATTGAAAAAACACTCCCCCCGACCGCAGGCTTGGCCGGAAGAGGCCTTGGCGTCCGTGGCCGAGTACTTCCTGTCGGGGCGATCAGGACTGGGCATAGAGCCCTTCGTCGCCCCTCTCGGTGCTATGGCGGTGGGAATTCACCGGGCCGTGGAGAGGGAAACCGCCAGGTTCGCGAGAGAAACCGTAAATCTCACTCGTGGTCGAGGCTTGCGTTGCAGCTGAACTAGCACAAGCCTCTCCTATCAGTCTCACTCTAGAGGTGAACGGCAAGATATTTATTGCAGACAAGCATCCAGCTCAAATGCAGGTGCTCTCGGCGTTCTTGCGCGTAAGGCTGGAAACATGTAGAAGAACGCACGCTCGAAGACGTTGAAGGAACGAACCGATCAAGAAGCCGTTCGTTTAGATTCCTCACGCATCCGTGCGCCTGTTCAACCGCTAGTGTGTCAAATCGTTGTACCAACCAACAGGGTATCGTTCCGATCACGCCGCCACAACTATCCCCGGAACACAGTATTACAAAACAAAATGCTGTTGAAACCATCACTACCGTTCACGAATGAACAACCAAGACCACCAGCACCACCAACCATGCCAATCCTAGCAACAAATGCAACAACGCAACAGGTTCGAAAGGGAGCTGGGTCGAAAGACCTACACCACCCCCACGTCGTACCTGGAGCTTATCAAGCTGTACCTCGAAATGCTGGGGACCCAGCGGGAGTCTGTGAGCACCAACGAGAGCCGGTACCGTAACGGTCTCCACAAGCTGGAGGAAACAAAACAGATGGTCAACGAGCTTCAGGTATGGTGCTCAAAATTGTGTTTGTGACGCGCGCCGTTGGGTGTCACCCTATGCCACGGTATTACACGTTCGTTGCAGGCGTGAAGTATTCGTGGTTCAACCGCGTGTCTTCGTAAGCTCTTTGTTGCACATCTACCATCGCACAGATCAAGAGGGAACGTGCTCAGTCGGATGTGCCTATACCCCGATTCCGACCAATGGCTGAGATCAGATGCAGGGAGAACCGTTCGGCTAGCTTCATATATGTCACATATTTTCGTGGGACTATGTAAGACGTTCCCAAGGTATTGATAAGCATATTGCAACTAAAGAAACCGAACGAAACGACGCAGAAGGTGGCTGCTTCGTAAAGAAAGCAAGCATGACGACACCTCCGATAGGGGCGTTTCCGTTACCTCCGTCAAAAGATGGACACCCCCCAACTTGAACGTGGCACGTACCCATGAATTACGTCTCTCCACGTTGCTTATTCCCACGTGATAGAGAAATAACCTTCGTACATCTCCCGGTATTTGCGAAAACGTTCGAAAGGGGACTCTTACGGAGATGCAGCCTCAGCTGGCCCAGGCCGCCATCGACACGGAGATCCTAATCAAGAAGGTCACGGCCGACCAACTAGCGGCGGACGAGCAGCAGGCCATCGTCGAGAAGGACGTCGAGGAGGCCAACAAGGTCGCCGCCAACGTGCAGGTCATCAAGGATGACTGCCAGAAGGTGCGCCGCTTGACATGGGCCGTTGCGAGTTTCTGTCTTGAGTGATCGGACTCTCTCTCCGACGTACTGCGGATGACTGTCAGCGGCGCCAGTCACGGAAAAGAGTGTTCAACGAACAACATTAGATCCAGTTGAAGCGCGCAGGGTACCGACGACAGCTCCCGGAGGCTACTCACGCACGCTCCCGGCATACAAAGTGGACTCCTTTTCGCACGATCACAAACTCACGTGCTGTTCGAGTTGGACAGCCCAATTTCGGAGTGGATTTTGTTCGTCAAGCCTCTTCAGCGTTTGGCCTGCTTTTAGATCGTTTACGAGTAGCTCTCACACGCGCATTTACAGCACCCCCGCTTGTGTTTCCGTGCGAATTGCAGGACCTGGACGAGGCGATGCCTGCGTACTACGCGTCGATCAAGGCCCTCGACTCGCTCGACAAGAAGAGTATCCAGGAAATGAAGAGCTTCACCAATCCTCCTCAGGTGATCTAAGCACCTACATGAATTTGCTTCGATGGTACCCGAAGGTTTGGCGTGCTAAAGGTACCGGGGTGCTGTCTGGTAGGAACCGTAGTCAAATGCTCAATTCGAAATTGTCGCCACCGTTACCAAACACAAACAACACTAATACGCGACTGACGCCGAGAACATGTTCGGCCGACCAACCCTGTTGCGTTTGGGACCCTGCTGTTACTATTCGGCTCCAGATGGTTGCCTACACGATGGAATCAGTGTGCATCCTTTTCGGCAGCAAGCCCAACTGGAAGGAGTCTAAGAACCTCATGTCCAAAATGACCTTCATGGACGAGCTCAAGGGCTTCGACAAGGACAACATCCCCCCGAAGGTTATCCGCGCCCTCAAAACCTACATCGAGAACCCCGGATTCCTGCCGGAGGAGGTTGCCAAGGTACACTTATTTATGCGGTTGTCGTTGGCAAGAAACGTGGGCGGACTTGCAGTCGCACAGACATGAAAAGTCTGACCAATAACTATAGTTAAATGAACATTGTCACGCTCAGAATAATCAACCAGGTCCCCTCCATCCATTTGCAACAACATACAAATTTCCTTCCGTTTTCAATTTCGGACCGTGTTGTTTCCATCACCACCACCAACACTATAATCACCAAACAGGTCTCTTCGGCCGCCAAGAGCCTCTGCATGTGGGCCCGAGCGATGTACACGTACGACAAGGTGGCCAAGAATATCGGGCCGAAGAAGGAGGCGCTCGCCCAGGCGGAGGGAGAGCTGGCGGTTGTCCAGAGCGAGCTCGGCAAGAAGCAGGAGGCTCTCAGAAAGGTTCGGATAGGAGAGTGGCACAGGGAAGAAGGCTCTTTGATAGTCAACAAAACACTTACGAGAGAGATGGTTTGGAGAGTTGGGAACCGCACGAGGCTCTCTGAACGGCAGCAAGGGCGCGGGGGAGGGCGTGGTGGTGCTACAAGAGATTTCGTTTCTCAGTGCTCATGTATGATTCACGCATCTGGCTGATCGCGTGAGCAAGTTTCGGCAATGTATCCGGTTATTTGGGTCTAACCGCAGAACATTCAGCGTCCCACCCAGGCCACGAGAAGTTCGAAGCTAGTTTGGCGTGCGACCGATTCAAGCATGAACGTGCTCCTGGTTCACACGTACGTGTTCTGCTTGCTCGTCGGACACGCTCGCTGTAATCTAACCGAACACGAAACGCTGAGAAGGAGGACACGTTCACCTCCATTTCAACGTGTGTCACGTCATTCTTGCCTTTGTTCGTTTTTTTTCTCTTTTTCGTGTCGAATGCTTTTGTATGTCATGTGCATTGCTTTTGTTCATGTTTTCTTGTACGTAAATATCGCGCTTTCCTCGAATATGTTTGATCGATTTATTCTCGATGTGCTCCATGTGCACTCGTGGCTGACCCGCTGATCCTCACGTCATCAAACGATTGTTCCTTTTCCCCTTTTTTCTTCAAAACAGATCCTCGCGGACGTTGCAGAGTTGAAGGCCACCCTCGCCTCCACCGAGAGAAAGAAAGCCGGGCTAGAGGGACAGGCCCTGAAGACCACGGACCAGCTCAAGCGAGCGGAGCAGCTCATCGGAGGCCTGGGGGACGAGAGGGAACGGTGGCAGGAGTCGGCCGACCGCCTGTCGAAGGATCTTAAGAACCTCGTCGGCAACGTCATGCTCGCCTCCGGTTGCCTTGCCTACCTCGGTCCCTTCACCAGGTCAGGAATTTTAGGCCGAGGAAAGCTTCAATATTCATCCCACTTTCTCTTCAGGGCATGGTACAGGGTGTGTTGAGAGCCCGATTGCTTTTCTCCTCCCTCTTGCTGTTGTTTCATCTTTCCCCGTCCCCCACCATACCCGTGCTACACAAACACCATGCTCCGTTGTGCTCCAACAACAGCCAATTCCGGAAGGACATGGCGTCCGGTTGGGTGAAACTCTGCAAGGAGCGTTCCATCCCTGTGGCCGACGACTTCTCCCTGGAAGGCGTTCTCGCGGAGCCGGTAACGGTACGGCAGTGGCAGCTCATGGGCCTCCCCGCCGACGAGTTTTCGACAGAGAACGGGATGCTGACCACGATGGGAAGACGTTGGCCGTTGATGATTGACCCCCAGGGGCAGGCGAACCGTTGGATTCGCAGCATGTACGCGGACGCCAATCTCCAGGTGATGCGTGGGTTGCGCTGTGTTGGTGAAAATATCGAACTCGTCGTTGTAAACATGTGGGGTAGTACAGCAGCGTTGATGTTGTTGCTGCTGCTGGTTCGTGCCCGCTTCTATAGTTTACTTTACGTTTGCGCCTACCCTCGGCTCTCTTTTCTTCACCAACTCTCACATACGGCCAGGGGGCGTAGAATCGGCCGGATGAGGATCACAGAACGATTAGGGTTTCTCGCCCCAGCCCCCCCCCCGCATGACCCTTCCGCCAAGTGTTCAGACAATTGTCGATCAGCAATACTTTCCTTCGGGGAACCACGTGCACCGCTATCTACGAGTCAGCCCCAGAAACACGCAACAAGAACCCAATGACAACGCCTGCAGCAAGAGCTGATTATGAAGGCCATGAGGCAACTACCTCTCCCTTCCTTTCGTTCATGCCCGATAGGTCATCAAACTCACTGAGAAGGCTTTCCTTCGTACCCTCGAAAATGGAATCCGATACGGGGCCCCCGTTCTGCTGGAGAACGTGAAGGAAGAACTGGACCCTGGGCTGGAGCCAGTTTTGCTCAAACAGGTTGGTGATACATTCACAATTTTGGGTTTATACGTTGCCTCAAACGATGACCAAATCCTCCGTTGTAACTGTAATACAAGTAGCTCATTCTCAAGCACATCGATGTTCGAGAGCGGCGGGCGGCTATCGCGGAGGCTTGCGGGAGTTTCATGCCGTGAAAACAAAATGATCATTAATTCGTTGTCGACCCCTGCTTCGGTTGTGACAGGTGTTCAAGAGAGGCGGGCAGGTACTGCTGAGGCTGGGGGACACGGACGTGCCCTACAGCGATGAGTTTAGATTCTTCGTGACGACAAAGCTGGCCAACCCGCACTACATGCCCGAAATCTGCATCAAGGTGTGTTGTTGGTGTTGTCATCATTGAGACGACTCGGCCCAACGCTGTAGGTCTGAACAGCAGTGTTGTGTCGATTTTAGTTGAAATCGGTGAATGTCTTCTGTCTGGTGACCGCTGTTGTCGGCATACAAACTGCGCTGAGGATGGTGTTCTTGACTCATTTTTTTTGTGGCACTGAGTGTCGCACCCTCGCCTTTTTCAGAACATTCTTCGAAGTATGTTCGATACCCCCCTAACGCGCAAAACGGACGGTAATTCCGTCTTTCACACCGAACCATCACAACGAACTATGCGGAGCAGAAACCGAACGAACGTGTTCATCAGTCACGGTGAACCAAACTTAATCAGCTCTCCGCTCCTCCCCAAACCTCACCTCAACCGTCATCTCCAACGAAGGTAACGATCATCAATTTCACCGTGACAATGACGGGCCTAGAAGATCAGCTGCTCGTGGACGTGGTAAAGAACGAGCGACCCGACCTGGAGGCCAAGAAGGATGAACTGGTATGGATAGGACAGCACCGCAAAATCCATGCTTCAATATGTCCACCAATTCGAATCGATCTTGATGCAAGCCACGCTTCTATTTTCTCTGGACTTTTGCCTCACAATGCTGTGGTACAATAGAAGTCTTGCTCCACATAGCATAGTGAAGTTATTGGTGAGCCCAGAGCAGAGCAATGGACCAACGGTGAGTTTGCAGCCGGTTACGATAGGGGTCTACAATGTGCATCGAATAACGCACACGTCGTCATTCGTGTGGTCCCAGCTTACCAACCCCAAGATTTCGGCCAACCCTGCACAAACATACCGGAAGGGGCGATACCGAATATTGTGAATTGCGACAGTATAAGGTAGTGATCAACCATTACCTTATATCTGAAGGTATGCTTTTTGCCGATACCTCTTTGTTGCCTTGAGTGGTAACAAGCGGTTTACATTCTGGTTCATGATCTCCGAAAAAATACTGTTGCGGTGCTCGCGTGCGCGATGTTTGATTCTTGTATTGAATCGCAGGTGGTGAACATCGCCAACGACCAGAGGACACTCAAGGAGATCGAGAACAAGATTCTTTACATGCTCGTGAATGCCTCGGGTATGCGGAAACCGTTGAAATAACCTAAGCAACTAGCCGTGACTTTCTCGTAGACACGACACCAGTTAGGCGCAATCGATATTGAAGGATACGGACGCATAATCCCCAAGACTCGAGCATGTGCAAGCCCTGAAGGAATCAAGGACTATGCGTGTGAGCATAAACACGTCATATTCGAATCACTGCGTTCTCTCCCAATATTTACTCTCTCCCTTCAGCAACGTTTACACTTGACAAAATATTACATATCCCGCGGAAAATGTACAATACCCGATGTGTTCCCCAGGAAACATCCTGGACGACGAAGACCTGATTGACGCGCTGTCCCAGTCGAAGGTGACCTCCAAGGCCATCAACGAGCGTCTTACGGAGGCGGAGCACACGACTAAGGAGATCAACGACACGCGTGAGGACTACAGGGTCGTCGCGACGCGGGGCTCCATCATCTATTTTGTCATCGCGGGTCTGAGCAACGTGGACCCCATGTATCAGTACAGGTGGGCGTGTGATGACTTGTGTCTATGCAACTAAAAGGGCTCCAATGATACATAAGCCCTTGATATCAGTCACACCCACATAGGCTACTGTCGCCAGCCCACTGGGAGTACGGTATGGTAGGTTCTAGAGGGGCAGAAGCACCACGGGGATTATTGTACTTGACCTCACGCCAATGATGCCCCTCCCATTGAGCAACCATTCCAATTTCTTGGGAGGGGGTGCGCAATAGGCCAGTTTGTGCTTGACTGCCTGACCTAGGCGTTTGCAAATCCTTGTGCGCGCATCATCACGTTGAAGAGACCCTCCGCAACGACTTGGAAACCATTGGCGGAGGGTTTCGTAGTACGACCATGTCCGCAACCGAGACAACCCAAAACCACGGCATGTTTCCAGAAAACACGTTGAGCGTCTTGTTGACTTGCCAAGCAGAGTCTACCGTGCTCCTCTATGGAACAAGTGGCCCGAGTGCCTCAAGGACACTCTCCCATTGATTCGTCCTTGGGTGCAAAGGTCTACGCTTCGTTCTTTCAATGACGCCTCCCCGTAGCACACGGGAGCTCTTGTTCTTGATGGAGAAATGTGTTTTCAAAACAGCCAATACACAGCCAATCTCTTCAGAAAATAGGCTCAGGCATACGATCAGGCCTTGCCAAAGTATTCAAGGATAACTTCCGCTGGTCAAGTTTTATCATTCCCAACGTGTCCAGCATTTTCTAGAACACACGAACGACAACTGGATCTTTTTCGCGTGCAAGAATTAAGTAATGCGCCTCAGAGGAGTCTCCTGTGTTCCTGAACAGAGCTCGTCAGAGGGGAAAAGTCGTTAAGTACGTGGAACCTGTGAGCGATGTGTGCGACAAACGAGACGACGAAAACAACGAAAGCAAACGTCCTAGAAACTGTTTTCCGTCCTTGCGTCCACAGCCTCAAGTTCTACAAAGACTTGTTCTCGCAGCGCCTGCAGAAGGCCGAGAAGAACGACGAGGTGTCCGCGAGGCTCCGAATCCTCATCGACGACGTGAGCCTCAACATGTTCACCAACATCTGCCGCGGCCTATTCGAGAAGGACAAGATGATCTACGCCTTCATGATCGCCGTGGGAATCCTGCGACAGGCCGGAAAAGTGTCCGACCAAGAGTGGCGGACGCTGCTTGTCGGCGCGGTCGTCATGGAAGCGGATGCAGGTGTGTAAGAATACTGTTTGTTTTGAGGCGGTTCGCCCTGTTCGCCGGAGCGGGTGTACTACCTAGGATGAGAATGACTTACAGCCGGCAGGTATTGATTCCAGCGGGAAGACCGTACAAGTTGTCCTTTGCAACAGTCCAAAGAACCCTTGATCATCTCGCAAGAAGGGAGAAGGAGAGCTTGCGTGAAGAAATAGCTTTATGTCCCACACGAGCATCTCCTTTTATGCGGTTGCCCTCTAAGTTTCCACATGCACAAGACAAAATACTGCAGCTAGTCTACTGTAGTTGTTGTTAACGCGTCCCGTTCCACATCTTATGACGCTTGCGGGCTATTTCTAGCGGGGGGCGCGGCGAGACAGAAACCGTCGAGCCTTCCGTGGATGTCGGCGAAGGCATGGGATCAACTGCTGGCATACGAGGCCACCCTGGGGCCTGCGTTCGCGGGCTTGCCGGCGGCTGTAGAGGCCGCGCCGGGTGACTGGAAGGTATGGGATTCCATTCGTTCAGGCGATTATATGCGAAGAAGGTAACAAGTAGCGACTTTTGGCAACCAGACTTCGGTGATCACCGAGGTATGTTGCCCGGTCTCTTGGCAGCAGTACTCGTGCGTGAAGCCTCAGCTTCCGCGTACTTCAGAGATGATTATTTTCTCCCTGCGCTTCATGTTGCTGTATCCATCTCCTTGCTATTTTTTGGCCGGTTGAACTCACTCCAACCACTGCTCTTTCGAGCCCCGCCCCCCTTCCCCCCCGGCATACCCCGCACGCCCTCAACCGGATCCATCCATCTACTGTCGTCAGTTGAAATCCCCTCCTTTTCATGACCTCACACCCCTCATGATTGCCTTCGAAGCGCAAGCACAAGAAACTTGAAGTTCCGCCCTCGACCTCAACCAACCGTCTATTCGCGAAAGAGAGAAAAATAGTCATCTTTGTTGCATGGTTTGCCGTATTTCTTGGACTCAAGGCTAAGTACTTCGAGTCTGAGGCGCCTCACTTGGAGGAACCCCCCGGGGAGTGGGGGGGAGACGGAGGACGCCTGTCGGAGTTCCAGAAACTGTTACTGCTGCGGGCAATACGCGAAGAGAAGACTGTCTTCGCGATGAGGGTTTTCGTGCAGGCAAGCGCTGACGGGTGTGTGGTTTGAGCAGGATATCGCCACTTGGTTCATCTCAAAAACGAGTTCATTTCTCCTGACCATAGACTAGTCGTGGAGTTTGCCCGTTTGTTTGTGCGGAGAGCGTAGATTCTCAAACGCTCACCTTTACAAACTCTAGCCTCGGGTGTGGATGACTGTAACACGTGCCGCACCTTGTTGTAGTAGCAGGTGTGATGTAAGCAGTGAGCGTGCCACTACAGTTGTTGAGGTCGATTTGCATTGCAAGAGACTCGAGATTGTTTATTTCACAGGTATCATTGTATCCTGCACACATCGTGAGCGCGCTATATTATTGGAATAGTCTCAGGCACAGTTCAGCAAGTAAATGTTGATACACGTGCCCAACCTGGCGTTTTCGATCGACTTTCAACCATGATGCCCTTACGCTTGCAGAAAAATTTGGGGGCAGCGTTCGCCGAGTCCCCACCGTTCGACCTTCAGGCGGCCTACGAAGACTCTGTCTGCATCACGCCGCTCATCTTCATCCTCAGTGCGGGTGCGGACGTTAACGACTACCTGTTGGGTCTGGGTGCTCAGAAGGGCAAGACCCCGACAAACGGTGGCCTGAAAATCCTCTCCCTGGGACAGGGACAGGGACCGATTGCGGAGCGGTTGATGGTATCCGGCAGGTGCGAGGCTTGGTTGTACTACCGTTCATGGCCTAGCAGTGCGTGTACTGCCTTGAAGCAGAGCCCGTGACCCGGCGATGGGAGTTCCGATGCTCACACGGCGTAGTTCTTTGACGAAATGGTCTTGGGGTGAAATCCTGGAGAGGTTCGTGGGATAATCAAGGGTCTGCTGACGCTAAATCCAGTGTCAGGAAATGGTGCACATGCATCGACGGTTGGAAGTGATAACATGCGAGTGGGGAATAATGAGACAGAACGATGGTCGCCGAAGAATGCGCCTCGGTTTGGGTGGCACATTGGCCATGCCGGCCAAATCATGTGTTAGGTCCATGCAGGCTTACCACAAGCCACCCAAGGTTAGAATTCACACTTTCATCATCAGTCGCCCAAAGAGTCAAGCAACATAAAAATCTCTTATTGTATGTCTATCGCAGCAAGTCCGTAACCCTTTCACGCCGTGCTTTCCACAAGTCCATTGACGTGAAACCCTCTTTTCTGCCGTATCACACCCTCGACCATTCACGTGGTAATTGCGACGATGACGGGCATTAAATTGAACCTTGTCACGTCCCTCAAAATTACCGTACGACCCACCGACTCCAGAGATAACGGAGACTGGGTGTGCCTGCAGAACTGTCACCTGGCGGTCTCGTGGCTCCCTACGCTGGAGCAGATTCTGGAGAAGGCGAACGCGATTCCAGAGGACACCCACGCGGATTTCCGACTGTGGCTGACCTCGAGTCCGAGCCCTCGCTTCCCAGTGGCGGTGCTCCAGAACGGCATCAAGATCACCAATGAGCCGCCGAAGGGGTTGCGAGCGAACCTAATGCGGGCCTTCAATGACCTCAAGGTTCGTTCGCTTGTGTATCTTAATTCCGTTGGCACCGAGCGCGTCACCTGTGTGGTCGGTGAAAATTCTGTCAGCGAAAGGCACGGTGATCCATAACCGTGGTCCATCCGTGGTGGGTGACGGGGTGGTGTATGCGTCATCGCAGTACCTTCTTTCGGCCTTTGGTCAAAAGCGTCTGGGGGAAAAAACTGAAAACCTGCTTTTTGGCACACCAACTAATCTGGAAGCTAGCGACATGGGATTTGGTTTGCTGTCATGGGCTCTACAGGGAGTAGTAAATGGTACGATCTTTGGACATCCTTTCTGTCGCCAAAAGTATGACTTTGCTTGAAATATATTTGCGGCTGCCCAAGTGTTTTACTCAAATTCCGAAGCCCCCCGCCCGTTCCCTATACCTCCTTCATAGCGTAAGAACCACCACCTTGACCAACGTTCATATGCTTCGTTCAACCTTGGCTACGACCGCACACGCTGGGAATCCTCTCGCAGCTTGTTTCATGCTCTCTTCCCTGACTCTAACCGCAGGAAGAGGAGTACGAGTCGTGCTCCGCCGCCAGGGCATTCAAGAAATTGTGCTTCTCGTTGGTATTTTTCAACGCTCTTATACTCGAGCGACGAAAGTTCGGGGCAGTTGGGTGGAACATCCCTTACGAATGGATGAACTCCGACTTGAAGGCCGCGATGATGCAGGTAGAGGAGTATATTGAATTGTGCAATACCCGTCCCTGCGACATTCCCGTACACGCTGAACTGCAATCTACGTATACGGAACGCATGTACATGGGTCCAAGTGGCCGTGATTTCGTCCCTTATAGGAGCGGGTTCGCTTTCCGTGCCCTTCCCGCATCCTGACACGGTTCCAAAGCGACAAATGTCCTACAATAGGTGTATCCCGCACCTTGTGTTCGATGAGTCCAGGCAAGAAGTACCGTTCCACGGCCCCGACCCAGCCTACCGTGACTAAAACCCTCGTTTATCCTACCTTCGCTAGGTGCGCATGTACGTGGAAGAGCAGGACGACGTTCCGTGGGATACTCTGAACGTGATCGTGGCGGACGTGACGTACGGCGGGAGGGTAACGGACGTGTGGGACAAGCGCACCATCGCATCCATCATGCGACTCTACTTCGATCCAGGACTTCTTGACGATTCATACCGGTTCAGGTACGCAGACGCGTCCCGGAGATTGAGAGACAAATTGTGTAGCCTTTGCCAGGCCACGTGGTTACCCACAGTTGCGTGGATGCGTCTGCGTAACGCCTCAGGCATGTTGAATAACACCGTTCTATTAAATGTTGGAAGATGCCACAACAATCCGTCGCTTCGAAACCAAACCTTCTTGTCGGTGAATCTGAAGAGCTTCTTGTCCCTTCCGGATTTACAGCGAATCGGGCACGTACTATGCACCGAGTGAGGGTTCCCTGGAGGAGCTGAAGGAATATACGAGAGGATTGCCTGTGGAAGACCCACCAGAGACGTTCGGCCTCCATCCGAACGCTGACATCACTTTCCAGCAGGTCCGCTTTGCTTGGAAACTTGTTCGAACTTGCACGAGCAACCTTCAAAACGATCCATGATTGCCATACCAGCTAGTCTTCGTTTGCCGCTGTTTTTGTTTCCTGGGGCGGTATCGTGACCGATTCCCGTTAGAGGGTGATGTAGAAACTCTGCCCCTGCTACAAAAACTGACGTTGATCCTCGCGCAAGCACTGTGACGTTGATCCTTTAGCTAACTTTGCAACCTACTGATTGTGACTGCGACATGCGTTCTCTTGAAAACACATTGAAGGCATGCTTGAGCATCATGGTCATACTTCTGCAGAAAACCGACAAACCACAACAACTGGTGGCAACTAATGTTTTCACATTTTGTTGCACAGAATTTTACGAATAACACATTGGGGACGATCATCGCGCTTTCTGGAGGTGGAGGCGGGGAAGGTGGCGATGCGGGGGACACGGACGTTCAGGTTTGAAATTCCGAACGTTGAACATCATGCTACTGTACAAATCCAGTTCTAACAGTGTCGTAAAGCTCTCTGCAGTCGCCAAAATGCCGACACTCTGACTGGGTTACAGTCGGGAGAGTTCAGTCAACAGCTCGAAAATGAAGAATTTTCCTGCAAGAAGAGGACGAGTTTGGATATTATCCGATGATGTTTTCATGGACACTATCTTATAGATTACAACTGGGGTATCAGCAAACGATCGTGTGTGAAAATCGGCGGCACTCAAATTGATGCTCAGTGCCGTTGCCCCAGTTAGACATGCCCCTCGATCATTTCTGCTGCAACACCTCTTGAAAAACCATATTTCTCAGAAGGTTAGTTGTGAGCAGTTTTGTTTGACTTCAATACTATGTTTCACCAAGGATCCTCTTTTAGCTGACACTTACGACTGCGCGCTGGCCTGTTTCATATACCATGACGTTGCCTCCAGGTAGCGGAAGGCGCGAAACTTATTGCCGCGAGGATGCCGACACCGTTCGACGTTAGAAAAGGACACGAAGAAACCTTCAAAAAGGTAAGACAACAGCAAAAGGGTGAGGCGACATCTCCCCCCCCTCGCGGATCTTGTTGTTCGATATTCATCCACACACAAGCCTACAATTATGCCGAAACGAGCAGCTCTTAATCATCGACGCTATTGTTTTTGCCATGGCCCACACGCCCTCTCTTGGCTTCCTTGTCTGTAAGGTGGACGGCGCAATGAATTCCCTGGGGGTCTTTTTGGGGCAGGAGGCGGTGCGGTTTAACGGCCTCGTAGCGGTCATGCGAGCGACGCTGTCGGAGCTGCAAAAGGCCATCAGGTATTCTTTATATGAGCGTAAGACTCCTTGGTATTGGGGATCCAGATGGACGTCCAGGCGACTAGAAAGAGCTGTGCAAAAGGGATGATGTTCAAACCCAGCCGGAGAGCCCCGTTCCCCGTGATATTCAAGAATAGCACCGAATTACGTTATTCGGCATCGATATCGACGCATGACGTGCCATAAACATAAATGTCATGTGTGGCGTCGGCTCGATAGCACATGAGATGTCGCTTTGTACTGCATAGTATACTATTCGCCATGCGTATCATCCACTGACAGGGAAATAACTCGTAGACCAAAACGATTGTACATGAATGTGTGGCGCCAGGGGGATCGTGGTTATGTCTGGGCCTTTGGAAGAGATGTACAACTGTTTCCTGTTCCAACGGGTGCCGCCAAGCTGGGAGAAGGCGGGCTACCCGTGCTTGAAGCCTTTGGCATCGTGGACAGAAGACTTTTTCGGGCGGATTGCGTTCATCGGGGCGTGGCTAAGTGAGGGGCCACGATCAAGCTATTGGCTGCCTGGTTTCTTTTTCCCGCAAGGGTGAGTGAAATGAGTGGGTTCGTCCAGGGTGGTTTGGCGATTCCTCTGTGGAACTTGGTGGACGTTCTCTTGTTCTATATCTAGGTGACGGACTCGTTCTCACAGGAAGCCATCTCGCGCATGACGAAACGGCTATCGATCCGGACGGGGTCAACGCATTCTATTCGAAACAAAGAATAGTCGGGTTTGTCAATGATGCAAGAATCACAATGCCTTGGTCTTAATGTATGTATCAAATTCGCCTAACTGACCCTCGCAGGTTCATGACGGGGGTGAAGCAGACTTACTCGCGAGATTACAAGATCGCCATCGACACCCTTGTCATCGGCTGCCAGGTTTGGAATACGTTGTTCTTGTTGTTCTTGTTGTTCTTGTTGTTCTTGTTGACGCAGTGTTTTACGTTTCGCACTTATCCCTAGGAAGGTGTAAGATATCACTTCGCTGTCATATCGTCAACAGGCGATTGCTTTTGGACCCCAGTTTTTCCATTTTCGGGATATTATTGCAGAAATATTTTTCTGGACAAGCACGTATCCAAGCGTTGCTAACACGGATTTCACGCCCACCAGTGATCTATCTCCCTCTGGAAACGAAATGTACCATATTTCTTTCACCGGTGTTCTACGCTGAACGCGGCATCCGAAACCGTCTTCCTTTCACCCAATTTGTTGTAGGTGATGCCGTTCGGAGAGGATACGGTAAGCGGAGGGCCGCCGGACGGGGTTTACATCCACGGCCTGTTCATGGAGGGAGCTCGCTTCGACAGAAATGAGATGCTCATGGCAGAATCGGTGGGTGTGGGGGGATCGGGAGGGTACGCTTGGTGTACGTACGTGTGCTCTTGTGTGGGTAGTTTGGTTCAGTTGTCCGTAGTTCGATTCTCGCGAGCGACTCAGCATTCTGCTGAAGGACTCATGTCAACATTGTTGTGAAAGGTTTGTCGGTCCATACACGTTTACTGCCCAAACTTCGTCCGAAGCTTCCCCACATGTACTGATGGGGTTGCTGCATAGGCGTCTAAGTGGTGGTGTTCTGTTTGGGTTCGTCGAACCCGCGCGTTGTGCCGCCTATTGTTTCTGAACGGTCTTCAAAGGATCTCCAGAGCAAGCCCTGGGTGCCACTTGCTCAGCGCTCTCTAGCGGAGAATGACCAACGAATTTGCTCGCAAAACGCTGCGCAATTCCTGGCAGATTCCAAGTCGATTGTTCGACGAGATGCCGTGCATCTGGCTCAAGCCATCAAGGAAAGAAGACGCTGACGGAAGCGCGGGCAAGTTATACAACTGCCCTCTCTATAAAACGTCCTTGAGGGTGAGCGCGGCACAAAGGAGCTTGGAATTTGACACCTTTCTCGCAATACAAAAACTTGCTACAAGTCCGAACTATGGATATTCAGAATGCACAAGGATTGCAAAGGCAAAACGAGAAAGCGCGTCGCATAGACCGGTGTTGGTGTGACGCGGTTTTTGTTATTGATGTGGGTTACGTGCATACGCCCATGTCTTGACTACCCCTTGTGAGTTCTACCGAGATCCACCTTTGTGCCTATTTCGGTGCTTCTACAGAGGTCGTGGGTCGGTTGTCCTTGTCATGTGTCTACCATCGACATATTGATGCGTTGAATACATAGTTCCAACCGAAACCGCAATTTTGTTTCACCAGGCCGGGACGCTGTCCACAACGGGGCACTCTACCAACTTCGTGGCACCACTTACCATCCCGAGCGGCAAGTCGGAAGACCATTGGATTCGACGAGGTTGCGCCATGCTCTGCATGCTGAACGACTAGACCGGCTCGAAGTAAAGGGCACGAGCTACTGAACATGATCTTGAGTTTGAAAGAAGCTGCGATCCTTGTGCGGTGTCCGGGAACTCGGAATACGCTCAGCGTGACGCGTTGTACATCACGGGGAAGTACACTACAGAGACTCAGCCTAGAGAGGTTGCACGATTGATGAGGGCTCGTAGACAATTTGAGTCATCTAGACGTATGGGATAAATCAACCTGCTCCACGCCTCTCAGAAGAGTATACCCCCAGAAACCTTGCCAAGAGGGAGGAGAATCTGGTGGTGTCATCGACCGACAATCTACGAATTCCCTAAGGTCCGAACAACGTCTTATCGATGGCGAAGCACTTTTCAATGTCTGCTATTGACGCGCGTCAGTGTGCCCACTTCCTCCGTTCCCTGCGGACGCTTTTTGAACAACTCGTTTCACTTGGTCATACGACAGAATCCCAGGTTTCCTCGGGCTTTCACCGGATACTTCGATTCCATGTCAGACTTTGACGAGTGCAAACAAGACCCATCAATTGTCCGAGTTCGCTCATCCCGATTCATAATGTTCGCTTCCATCTCACACGAACATCACAAATAGCACTTCACGAAGTGTAAGTCAACGAATGTCTTGCGTTCAACCTGCGGTTTCTCTATTTGTGTAGATCGAGGCATGCATTTCGGAAATATTGTTCAAAGCCATAAGTTTGCAGCCCAGGCTCAACTACGCGTATAGGAAGATGTTTTCTCATTCTGTAGATTGGCCGTCACACACGATTTCGAGAGATCGCTGATGCCTTGTATGGAAAAGAGCCAACCAGCACCCTCTACCTGTAGCAAGCCAAACGTTTCGCTCTACCTGCTGCTCGAGTTTCCAGCGCAATGGACAAATTTTCTTCCGGCTTCTCTTTGCAACGAAAGCGCTGGTCGACTCTTCACGCAATACGTCCAACAAATATTTGCACTGTCTTCAACAAACGTCTAGGTACGTGAATGGGAAAAGGGGGTAAAAGGTGCTCTCTCCATATTGGCACTTTGCCTGTGGCATTCTGAGTGGTTATCGGACATTGTGCACAAACTCGGCAGCTGCGAGGCCCCATACTCTAGCTAGTAATGGAGTGAATGGACGGCCTACTCCATTTTGTTGCAAAGAGAAAGCGTAGCTCAAATCGATGGACGGACCTGAGCCGAATAGCCTGTGACATACCTTGGTTGTTGAGAATTACCATCATTTCGAAACTGGCTCTACATCCACAGCAATGAATTCATTGAGTCGTGCAATCACATCAAATCGCGTTTCATCGTAGCAATTATGTTTGAGAGTGATAGACAGACTTCCTGCGAAGAGGAATGAATTCCATTGGGGTTGAAACTTCCCTATCTGTTGCGGGTAAGAAAGAGCACAAGCACATGTATGGCCTACAATATCACTATGGCGTGACCATATTTCGACATCTACTGGCAATATTTGATTTTGTGCGTGCAGTGAAGATTAATCCAGGAAACGAACTTTGTCACCTTCTCGGGGACCTGTTTATTTCGTGCTCTCCGTTACCTTAGGTTATTAGCAGGAGAAAACTTGGGCAATCTGTAGGAATGCTTGCAGTCCTTATCCCCCTCAATTGTCACGGATGGAGATAAAATGCTCGTGGTACTTCCAAACCAATACCAACGTGCTTTGGAGACAAAGGACTACCATTGACCCCGTTCGCCGGTAGATAGCGGTAGCAAAGGACGCAGGGGGTTTGCAAGTGTGATGTGCGGGTACATCCAGACCCACAAACAGTACCTTGGAGTTTGACATGTTCACAAGCTGGGAGAATTCCGGCCTTCAAAAATTTCGCGCAATTAATACTATTGCCTGTGTGCTACTGCGGTCTGCACCCGGAACATGTAGCTCAGCTACGATGTGAGTGTATTGATGGGGCATGCCTGACAGTCAAGCCTGGAATGGAGTACGGTACTGCGACGACCAACCGGTGAGCTCATGGGGATACGGGTAACATCCGAAATATATTAAACGCTCTGCCGTAACACATCCAACATTGCCTCGATGAACGATTCACTCCGTCGCAAGCTCAACGGGGTATATGTACAAGAGTAGGTGAAGCTTTAATGAAGGCCCGCTCGTACGGCGGTTGGCCATATCTGTTTTAGAAATATTTTCGCCATATATTTGGTATGTGTTCTACGTGCGTGAATGACAACGGAGGAAAAAAAATAATGGAACAGAATATCCATCAAAGGCTGCGAATTTTAAGTACAGGAGTAGACATACCGTTCACATGCATTATGGAGAGGCTTATCTCTCATTCAAAATATGTTTCTAGAGTCGACACGGGGGAAAACATTTGCTCCATCATTCATTGCTGTGTGAACATATTTGCGATATCGTTCCTTGTGAGTCTTACAACGCAGGGTGGTTCAGTATCACCTGCGGATTCATGTAGAAGTACGCATGAGCTGTCAAAAGGTGCTACAGTGTCTTCGGGGAGAGGGACCAAATGATGCCCCTCCCAAAGGAAACGTTGATGCGGAGGGGGTCTCACAACTGGTACAATGACGGATTGGGTGGGATGGTAAAAAATGGTGTGATACACGGAAACCTCGTGCTGCCGTGTGTCTCGAGCGAGAGGAGAGATGACGACACGGACAACGAGGGGGTCTGGCGCTCACACACGGAGCACTGACAAGTTGGCAAACACACGACACCGAGAGAAACATTTGGGCAAGATAATGGCTACGCGTGCGGTCCCACTCGTTCCAGATCATGCCATGTCCCGTGAACAACAGGCTAGGGCGGCGCATGGGCGCTGCTGTGAAGAGGTGGTGTGGGCAGGCTCACTACACGGCTACTCGGTGTGGCCACAAGACCATCGTTGCAAACATCTTAAGAGAACGGAGCGCTTGGTAGCACCCAGGATGAAGGCGGCTTCACCGCTCTCCACATTGCTGCGGGTGTAGGCGAAGTGGGGATGGTGCAGCTGCTTCTCCTCAAGGGAGCTGTGCTCGAGGCGCAGGACGGTGTGGGACGCCGAGCTATGCATGTTGCAGCCCAAGCGGGCCATGTCGGCTTGACAGGGGCCCTGTTGGCTACTGGAGCTGACGCTGGTGCTCGTTTCGGCACCTATCAATTGTCAGCCTTGGAGGTGGACGCCGAAAATGGCCGTGCAGGAGTTATGAAGGTGCTGATTGAGCACGGGGTGAATGTGAACACGGCGAACGCGGACGGCTCCACACCCCTAGATTGTGCCGCCTATGGAGGTTCTGCTCAGGTGATCGATGCGCTTACCAAGGCAGGAGCAAGCATCAATCAAAAGAGTGTCGAAGGAACATCACCTCTTCATGTTGCGGCTGTCTGGCGCCGTCTCCAAGCCGCTCGCGCTCTGTTGAGGTGTGGTGCTGAAGTGAACATGACAAACACGCACCAGAGGACCCCCCTGTTTGCGGTAACGTCGTTTCCTGCAAGGCACCGTGCCGTGGAGATGGTAGATCTCTTGAAGTGGGGTGCTGACGAAGGTATGACAGACGACAGCGGCCGAAAACCCGGTCAATTTGGCTTGGCTATCTTAGACTTCGGATCGATTGCGCAAGGCGTCCAGGAATCTCAGCGCGCCACCAGAGAACATCAACGTGTCCAACAGCTGTTCACCACCGCCCCTACCGACAGAGCCTGGCGCCGTCACGGCCTGCTAGTCTTGTGCCGTTTTCATCCCGGTAGGGCGCGGTGGCGACAGCAAGTCAGCGAAGAGAGCGGGAACATGACTGCAGCCAAATACAGTCGTGCTCGCCTTGTGAGCAAGCTTGTCGACGAGAAGGACGCCGCCAATGCCCAGAGCAGCCGCACGACTGCGGGTTGCGGCGAAGGTGATGGTGCGCTTCGCTAGGAGTGGGTCGGTGTGATGGCTTGGCTGATGGAGTTCGGAGAGGAGGGTGTCTTCCGGAGGATTGTGAGCTACCTGTGATGCCATCCACAGTAGGGTGCGATGTGTCCGGTGTAGCCCGCAGCTCTAGTTGCTGTGATATGTTTGGGCACGATGCTGTGGCGGCTGGGGCAGTGACTCCAGCAACCATGCTTTTTGGAGACAAGACTAATGGTTTAGTCTATTTAGTTCATGGCGAATCAATATTTAGGGCGCCATGAGGAACACACGTAAGGACTCAAAGCACGATCCTGACGATCTTACTGGTACGGTGGAACAGAAGGTACAGTTGCAGACAACCTGCATCACTCCCTAGTCTATGGACTGAATCAGATTCGTGCGAATGCAACAAACGTGAAGCGAGATGCGGTCGCTGTACGGACTCTTCAGCAGGGCTGGTGAGGAGAGTGGCATGCCGACGGGAACTTCATCGTGGCCCGCCCTCGAACATGATCAAACGATTGTTAGCTGGTGGGTCACATGGTTGCTGAACAAAAATGGACTCAGGAGAGATGGGGGTTGATGAGACCCGCGTCCGGATAGTCAGAAACTTCCGATTTGTCTACATTGGGTGTGCATTTCAACCTGTATGAGATAGTTCAATTGTTCTGCACATTGTATATATCGTATATCACGAGATAGGTCGGTCGAACAAAAACGGTGGCAGTTAGACATCGCACCTGTTGGCAGGAATTAGCGTTTGTAGACTACCCAAGCGGAACAAGGGAATGAGGGTTCGCCGTGGAAGATGGTCGGCCTTCCAGTGCAAGAACGGTGTCGCGTGGTCTTCCCTCAAAACAAACAAAAAAACATTTGTAGACTAGTCATGACCCGGCATGAATGAGGACTTTCGCAGGATTTCGTCATGTGTTCACATTACTTTCGTTACGCCTTGATCCGTTTGATCAACTCAAAGTCACGACCAAACGAGAATCACTGGAAGATACTCCATCACGGAGAAAACCTACTGCGGTAAACGGTAACACGACAAAATACCAAGTGGAGTGCACGCCGGTACAGGTCTCAGGCCGTTCAAGTATACGTATCAGAAATATAGCTGTGATGTGGCACAGTTCGGCTTGAGGAGCAGACATCATGCACGCCCCGACGCAGTTGATGCTTGCTCGGTAGTAATTCTCCCAATGCACCCCCCCCCTCCCATTTCCACACCAGTCGCATTACGACGCTGGTCGATTCCCCCCCCAGAGAGCATCCTCCTATCCTCGGGCTACTGCTGCACAACCCGTCGACATCATTTCAGCAAGACTGATGTAACCTTGTGCCTTCCCGCCGGTATGCACTGAGACGTAGAATTAGAGCACCGTTTGGCGTTAATGGCCATTCCATCCATGTAGTAGCTGGCCAGGTAGGTGTTCAGGCCGCGAGGCATTCTCACCCGAAGCCTCTTCGCCAATAAATTCTTGTGACATTGCCGACTACGGGGAGGAGAAACGGATCCTGTGGAACACACCACGCAGCAACGCGATTGCACTCGATCTTTTCCCAACAAAATGATCTTCGGCCAAGAATCGCAAAACAATCTCCCGCTAAAAGTCCGAGGGAAAAAACTGGGTCGTTGTTTCTGTGTGACTTCGAAATTTAAAGGCGGGAAGCTTCACCGATACTTATACTTCGTAGGGGAACGGCCCGTCTCCCACTTCGGCGAAAAATACCCCAAGAGGAGAGATAGATACTGTCTCGGACCGAGGTGTTACACGAATAACCTGTTTTACCTGCTGGCCTACTCAGAACAGCATGTTACACGATGGCCCGTGTGCAAATAACGGACTGGAACGATCGGACACCGTGCCGTGTTAGGTTGACATAAGTATTCGTCAAGGAAGACATGATCGGTTCACAGCTGCGGAGATGGACATAAACACTGTTAGAAACAGCCAGAAAAGAGTCATCTACCGATGACAACGTCAACAGTAACATCAGTTCGTGCACAAACAATACACAAAAGTCGGACCCAAAGATGACAATTTCAGAAGGCTGGTTCTGCACCTTGGTCCCGTGGATCCGGGTGAGAAACGCTCCCTCGCCACAACCGTCACAGCCGGTTGGGAGTCCCACACCCGCGAGGCCATGTCCTCCCGTACCCGGTGCCCTCCACAGTAGCCTCAGGCGTTGAACCTCCCAGGATCCATTTCCCCAACACCGACGCACACGTAGCCGCCGTAGGCTGCTTCCCTTCGGTCGATACCGCTCCAGCACGATCCGTCATGCATGACTCTCTCTCTGGGAGTAGCACCGTCTTTCATGAGTGCCTCATCGGAGTATCCCCCGCCATCGAAATCATCTCCATGTTCGGGTCCCGGCGAATGACGCGTTCTTCGTCTCCAGCGGTCTCGCTCGAGGCGCGACGAACGTGGACGATACTAGCACTGGTCGAGGTGAGCCCTCCAAAGCTAACTTTTGGCACTATTGCCGAAGTAGGGCTCTTCCTTCATCCTTGTCCTGAGAGATCTGAGCCCTGGGGGCGGTGTAACCACAAGTACGCGAGTTACGGACAGGGGTGACCACGCACGCCGGGCCGATGGGGTAAGTACTCAGAGCTTAGGCCGGGGTACAAAACAAAAAATCGTACATCCTGGTGTCGCTTGGGTTTCGCTACAAATTCAGGCCGGCGCCGGTAAGGTAGGGATGGCATCTGTGGAGACAATCTGCCCCCACGCAACGATCGAGGCACTATGAAAGGTTTTGGTGTGTCTCGTCAATCGCCTTGATCTTTCTCAGCGGCCGGCTGTTGTAAGACAGAGCGGGATGCCTGATACTGCATCCGTGTGGACCCCTCGACTGCTGCTTGCCCAGATAGATTCAAGTGTTGAATTTTTATTGCTTCCCCGGGAAAGAGATGCCAATAATCAGCACGCCTTGCGAACCATCACCAAACCTAAGGCTACACGACATGCCTCGATTAGCGCTCTGTCGTTGTTTAACCACAAGAAATATACTTCGTATACTCAAACAGCAGGTGAAACTTCGATTTGGTCCCCAACAGAGGTGCCACATACGAGGGTTGTTCATTGTTATTGCAGTAGGGGCCCGCCCATCATATCGTATCAAGCCCCAAATTTATCTCCTCTCTGGCTCACTACTGTAGTTATTTTCTTCTTTTCCTCCCTGCCACCATGTTCCGATGCTACTGTATTGACTTGCGGAGACCCGGGTGAAGATCGTCTTGGCAAAAGACTGTGAAGAAGGCCCAGAGCCACCGTATATTTGTCTGCGTATTTCTCCATCCAGGAGGCTTGAACTATGAAGTAGATCTTATGGATGCTGCAGAAAGTCAGCGACACTGTTTAGCTATTTGTGTCCGTTGTTTGGTTCAAGTCGCACAACCGCCCGTCATATGTTGATACACCCCCCAAATCCGTGTGTTCAACAAGAGCTGCCTCCAAGTCACCGTGAAAGGTGGCCCTCGTAGCCAGCACCTAGACTGTGGAACCATGTACAAACGTATACATACTGCGTGGTCTTGTTTCAGCAGCCTACATAGACCCAGGGTGGCGCCAGGTGGGTGTGCGCGTGCCACACTGGTTGCCCGTGGGGCCTGTGTGGGCGAGAGTCCCATATCGGAAAAAAACCTGGTTATTACTGAGTACGAACATTTCTCACACGCTATTTTCCCTGTTCAGAACATCACGCACACCTTCCTTTCCGTTCGTTTCTTCAGCGGGAAGGACCTATCAGGATTATTGCTACTCTGGGGCGCCGTCATACATGACGGTTAGTGGGCTATTATTGCGATGGTGTGCCAAAAAAGGTCGGAAACACTTTGGAAACACAAAAAAAACACGGGGAAAAAAAATGCGGCAAAATAATAAGTCTGTAGCCGAGACAACCTGAGACGCAAATGGCAAATGTGGGGCTAATGTATCGATGAGAGCTTGGGGTTCACCTTTAAACAAGGATCATAAGATGACCCGTCTTCGAAGCCCCCGCAGTAGTGTATGTCGCGGGTTGATGCTTGGCCCGGAGGCTGGTGCGAGGCCGCTCGCAGCGCGGCGGAATTGTCTTGACGGCGGACGGCGGACCATTCCAGGTACATCCGCGGTACGCCTCAGGCACGAGATCCGACACTGGAGAGCCCCCGGCATGTTCATAGTGGACATCCCTTGTCCCAGCTTCTCTTGTCGCTCCCGCTCTTCTATGTCTGTCTGGAGTCTGGAGTCTGCGACGGCTCGCGGCGTCGGCGGGTATCACACTCTGCTTCTGTGCTGCGGTGTTCTGCACAACCGACACCGTATAGAAGTATAGAGTAGGTCCAGGCATCCTGTAAGTACAGTAGAACCGACAACCACGGAACCCCCCACCGACCCAACGAACCGCAATTGCACCGCAAAAAGTCAACTCCAGACCATCACACGCACACAAGAACATCACACAATAAAGAGGCTGGCGCACAATAAACAGGTGAGCACCTACAGGTCAGTGCCTTGCTTGATTTTACCTCTTGTTCTGTGCATGAGGGAGAGGTTGACATTGGGCAACGGGAGCGAGCTGATCGTGTTGTCATCAACACGTAGACTGAAGTCATTTTACTGTAGGTCGCCCCAGGTAACCGTCCAATATCTCTATGCTACACAAGATGCGTTGCACCCATCCTCTCACTCTTGTGCTTCTAGAGGGATTACACATCAATGCCATTGGGTAGCCGAAGATGTCATTTTTCACTCCGTTCCTATGACCAAATGGTGCCCACATCTCACCCCTTGGGTGAAATGATCGTTCGTCCCGCTGAACGAAACGGCAGCTACAGCTATGGCGGTGGAAAAGGCATTCACACCCACAACGAAGAACATGGGGAGAGGGCAGCAGCAAGCAAAGTTGACCGACACCCCTGGGGAGATCCAGCGAGTGCATTTCACCAAAACAGCAGACAGCAATTCGAAGACAGAGCAGCTGGAAAGCCTATGCTCGAGAGCCCAGAAGCTTGGATCCCTTCCCACCACATCGATAGAGCGCTTGGAGAAAGAGCAAAACACAGCCACACTGGCAGTCGGGGTGTCTCGAAGTGCCCGAAGCGTTGAGGTTGTGCTGGAGAACAGGGGAAGAGGAGGCGAAGTGGCGGACGACCGTTCTTTGCAGCGCCGACTTGAGGTTGCCAAGATGGGAAACGAGCTTAGCCGGCAGGAGTTGAGTGAGGTGAAGGAAAAGCTTGCAAAGGCGTTGAATGTGACACGGGACGGCGGGAAGCTCGGAAGCTCTATCATCACCCGCCATGGGAAAGCCGAGGCGTGGCGAAGTAGGCTGTCGAGACTCTGTTCCTATCCAAGGGCCACTTCAACCCCACGGCAGGAGGCGGAGGCACGTTTCGAGGCGCGCCTGGTGGCGTTTATCGCAGCGTCAAACATGACATCTACTGATCGGGCAACAAGGGCTTTCTGCCCGCAACGCAAGTCTCAGTTAAAGCATACCCGGCAAGGGTTTGGGTCTTTATCGGCGCCCGACAAGCGCATCGAGGATGCCCGACTCCCCGCGTGGACGCTTGTGGTAGTAGCCATAGCAGCGGGCACGATGGCTTCACTGCTGACTGCGCGTGTGGTGGCACCTCCCCCAGGCTTCGGATCCCTCGAGAGAATGGTACAGGAAGAGGCCGGCTTCGACAACAGTAGCACCACTTACCACAGCCTTGGAAACCTCCCCCCTTTCACTGCCGGCAGCATCAGCCTTAGCGGCGCCTTGAGCGAGGCCGCTGGAAACGAAGAACATGTTGAGCATTCGTCGGGACCCGAACATGAAGATGATCGCAACGGTGGTGGACACGCCGATGATGTAGCCATGAAGCATGGTGCTATTCCCAGCGAGACGGTCACGGATGACGACACGTGCCGGGGTATCGGGCATGGGGACTTGTACCATATATTCAGCAATATGTGCTTCGAGGCTGAGGAAATGAATGCTACAGGAAACGACGCCGCAGATGGCACCGGGCGCAGGGAGGAAATGGCCCCGCAGGTGTTGGACTCCGAACCGGATTTGAAGGTTGTGAACGAGGGATGGTTTCTCAAGCGGATCGACGGGGCCAAGGTGCGAAATGGGATACATCTTATTTTTTGGTGCGAACGATATTTATTATTGGTGTGTTCGTATTACAGTAGACCAACATGATCAAATGTTGATGTTGTCATCGTTCGACGACTGTTGCCCCGCCATCTACATCCCAAAATATGTCTCCACACCTACCTGTGGAGTGGTCTTCTTTCCTTGAACGTATGTCAACCCCACACAGAACAGGGCGTTAGCGCAGTTCGTTATTCGCAGAAGGGCCGCATGCGGATGCAAGAGTGTTTTTATTGGAGTAGGCCAGCAGATAAAGCGGTTGTACACCTCGTTCTGAGACTAGAGCATCCTCTGCTGGGTACCCATCGAAGTGCGGGGCGGCCCTTTCCCCTACGAAAATGTCCTAGCGGCGATCTTCCTCCCTTTTTCGCTCGTTCATGCCAACCAGTGGACGAGCAGACTATAGTAAATAGTATCATAGATGCAATTGATAATGAAACAGTTTGTCAGGATATCTGTGAAGCTCTCTGTAATGGACCTTCGAATCACGCAGAACCACACCATTTTTGTAACTCCTCGGGAGAATAGGGAGTTTTTCGGTCTTCTTCTCCCCAAGACAACTTTGCTGGCAAAGACCGATTGTAAGTCTCCGTGCTGCGCTGGTTTGTTCCCCACAGGACCTTGTTCTCCTCGTCGTATTCGGCGTTGCCACAAGAATGTTTTGGCAAAGAGGCTCCGGGTGACAACAAACCGTGGCCTGAGCACCTACCCTGGCCTACTATGATTTTATGTGAATGGAGCTATACTTTCACACAGACCGTGTGCTGATTCTGCTTCTCAGGGCATGCCAGCTGGAGGTGCAAGTGTTTATGAGTCTCATTGAGACAATGTCGGCGGGTCGTGCAGCATTACATAGGTCGAAGATACGCAGGTGGACTCCTCGGAAGAACTCGCTCCTCGCCATGTTGTGGCCATTATTGTACAAGTAGAGCGGGGAGAGTTGGGTAGGGTTAGGGTTAGGGTTAGAGTTGGTGAAATATCACTTTTACAGCATTGAACAAATATCAAGGAGCTTCAGGGTGTATGTAATGCCATCCAACCATCGAGTTGAATTGTGGCACATGAAATATGTTTGTTATGATATGAGAATGGCCTCTGAGGCCTGCAACGGCGGGCAGTCGACTTGCTGGTCGGTAGGTTGTGCTGTTTCAACGCAGGCAAGTCCTACAGCTGTTCTCGACGGAGCGCCAGTGTTTCATGTTCGGTGCTGATTTTGATCTCAAAATACCTGAACGCTGCACCAACGTTTAATGAACGTCAACGACACATTTCGGCCACATACTCATCGAGCAAGGATAAAGGCTCTCGTAGTTCGGATGAATTTCATTCCACCAGTTCGAAGCGTTTACGTGGACAGCAGCAGAATACTGCGTAATAGGCAATCAGTGGCGAGACATTTTCTCCTTTCCTCTTTCCCCTGCAAGTCTGCAGTAAGCTCGCTATAGGTATATAGTTGCGTCAAGTATCACCGACCATGATATCAGGCTGCCAAACTTCGAGGACAGACGTCTGGTGTGCCATTTCAAGGACAGATATCAAGTGGGCCACACCCCGAGCAGAACACGTATGGTCATCAGGTCCTGCAACTCACAACCTTCCACGAATTCATGCGACAAGACCTCGAAGCGAAAATGGTGCTCATGGCCCTTCGGTATAAAGTGAAGCGACGTTCAGCGTCATTCATTCCGTGCATGACTCTAAAGATGATAACCCACACTGTTTTTGGCTTTGGAGCTCAGGTAGGGAAGACCACGCAACACCTACATCGCGCTGAAAGGCCCACTATCTTCGACTGTAAATCCTCAAGACCCTTTTATTCTACAGAAACTTAATATGCTGCCAACAGATGCATGATGTCCCAACTGCATCCACCGTTTCTTTTCGACGAACCTATCTCGCGCTCTACCATCCAAAGAATTTGCAGAATAGATGAACTGATATCTCATACAGGTCGAAATCGGCATCCTATGTAGACACATCGGAGGTTCCTGGCTACCCCGAAACGGGCCCCGCCTACCCTCATTTTCTCTCCCGAGTCCATTTCTGTTCAGCAGCGACGTGTCCAACCAGCTCAGAATCGTGTGATCTTGTTCGAGGGAGGGCCACGATGAAGCCCCCCTGTGGCATGCTGCTCTCCTCACCACCCCTGCCGAAGCGTCCGTACAGCGACCGGATCTCACTTCATAATGTTGCCACTTGCTGTCGCACGAAGCTTACTCAGTCGATAGACTATGGAGTGGTGCAAGTTACCTTCATCCGTTCATTTCCATTCCACCATATTCAAGACCGACAGTCTACAGTAGTCGGCAGTTGCTTTCGCTCGGAACCGATTCACTCGATAGACTCTCCAATGAAGCAGGTTGTCTGCGGCCGTTCCTTCTGTTTTGTCGTACCAGTAGGATCGTAAGGATCATGCTTTGAGTCATTACGTGTGTTCTCCATCGTGCTCGACTTACAGATTCGCCATGAATGACACGATAGTCTTGTCACCAGGAAGTACACTTGCTGGGGTCATTCCCCCACCCGCTACAGCAGCGTGTCCAAAAGTATCACAGAGCAGCAACTACAGACTGCGGGCTACACACATCGCAACCAACATCTGTGGACGTACGCTCGGCGGCATCACAGGTAGCTCACAATCCTCCGGAAGGCACCCTCCTCTCCCAAATCCATAAGCCAGGCCGTCACACCGACCCACTCGTAGCGAAGCGCACCATCACCACCTTCGCCGCAACCCGCAGTCGTGCGGCTGCTCTGGGCATTGGCGGCGTCCTTCTCGTCGACAAGCTTGCTCACAAGGCGAGCACGGCTCCATTTCGTTGTCGTCATGTTCCCATGTTCTTTGCTGACTTGCTGTCGCCACTGCGCCCTACCGGGATGAGCACGGAACAAGACCAGCAGGCCGCGGCGGCGCCGGGCTCTGTCGGCAGGGGCGTTGGCCAACAGCTGTTGGACACGTTGCTGTTTTCGGGTGGCGCGCTGAGCATCCTGGACGCCGTGCCCAACCGATCCGAATTCTAGGATAACCAAGCCAAATTGTCCGGCTTTCTGGCCCCTGTCGTCTGTCATATCGTCGTCAGCACCCCACCTCAAGAGAAAATCTACCATCTCCGCGGCACGGTCTTTTCCAGGAAACGACGCTACCGCAAACGGGGGGTCTTTTGGTGTTTGTTTGCCATATTCACTCCAGCCCCATGCCTCACCAGGGCGAGAGCGGCTTGGAGATGGCGCCAGAAAACTGCAACATGAAGAGGTGTATCCCCTCCGATGTTCGTATGATCGACGTTTGCTCCTGCCTTGGCAAGCGCATCGATCGCCTGTGCGGAACCTCCACAAACAGCACAATCTAGGGGTGTGGAGCCGTCCGCGTTCGCCGTGTTCACATTCACCCCGTGCTCAATCAGCACCTTCACAACTCCTGCACGGCCATTGCGGGCAGCCACCTCCAGGGCTGACAATTGATAGGTGCCGTAACGAGCACCAGCATCAGCTCCAGCAGCCAACAGGGCCCCTGTCAGGCCGACATGGCCCGCTTGGGCTGCAACATGCATAGCTCGCCGCTCTTCACCGTCCTGCGCCTCGAGAACAGCTCCCTTGAGGAGAAGCAGCTGCACTACCCCCAGTTCGCCTGCACCCGCAGCAATGTGTAGAGCGGTGAAGCCGCCTTAATCCTGGGTGCTAACAAGCGCTCCGTTCTCTAGTATGTTTGCAACGACGGTCTTGTAGCAACACCGAGTAGCCTCGGCCAGTGACCCGGCCCACACCACCTCTTCACAGCAGCGCTCATGCCCACTAGCCTGTTGTTCACGGGACGTGGCATGCTCTGGAACCGGATTGACCGTACGCGTAGCCATTATCTTGCCCAATTGTTTCTCTCGGCGTCGTGTGTTTGCCAACTTGTGAGTGCTCCGTATGAGAGCGCCAGACCCTCTCAGTGTCTGTCTCGTTGTCCTCTCCTCGAGACACACCGCAGCACAGAGTTCCGTGCATAAATATTTTTTACCGTCCCCACCGAATCCATCTGTGTACCAGCTGTGCCCCCCCCTCACAAAATATATATATATATATTCACCACGAAAAATGGGGGGATTGTCGCCATAATATATAGCTCTTGAAGATGCCTCTACCTAGAAAGACCCAAGAGAGGCCAACCTCACATTGAGTGAAAACTTATACAACACGTAACTCGAAGTTTTCGATGAAAGGTCTGCCTGTGTCGCGAGGCTCCATACATGTTCGGCAAGAAACAATGCGGTCTAGACGAAAATTGAGATGTAGATTAGTTCATGTTTGATGTTGTGATCCTCTTCGAACTGTACACTGTATGAGGTGCGTGCTGGACGCAATATGTGAGGTGCGGGTATTTTTACTCAAGTGCACATACACATTGGCAAGATGGCTTCGGCCAAACGCAGCAGCACCAGCGGGCCGAGCTAATCCTTGAATAAACCTCTCTGCGCTTGGTGTGTAGTGAAAATTTATTGAGCCTTTGGTAGTTGCGCCACTACGGGCCCTCATAGGTGCAGGTATTCCGGAGAGCTCAAAGATTGGTCGATTGCCTCCAGGCAGCCCGATTGTGCTTCCTTCATCTACACTTGTGAACTGGTTCCCAACGAGCTACACGGGGGTGTACAGCAGTGCCGCAACAGCACCGCAGCAATAGCAGCACCGCAGTATTGAGAAAAGAAGCTCGCAACCCTGCACTAGCGGCAGGCTTGCAGCGTGCGAAAAGGTGTTTCTATTGTAGCTGGGCGTACACCGCGTCCATTCATTTAGCAAAGAAAGAGGGGGACAACGACTGCAAGCTTCGCCTACAGAGTGATTGAAGCCTCTGCAAACAATCTGAACCAACGGAGAGGACGAGCGCACCGAAATCTCCACGTACACCCACGGCACCACAACAAGAAGCCCGAAAAAAATTCACCAGGAGTTCGCAACGTCCCCTGCGCCAACAGAATTGCAATAGAACACAGAATGAACCACCGACAATATCGGGTTCAACGTTCAACCCTATTGAGCCCGCGGTACACCGAGGCAACTTCCACGCCAAGACAGTGATGCCGCTCTTTCTGCCGGCAAATTTCGACTGAAAACACCACCGTCATTCAGAGTCTGTGCCCACCCGCTGATGAACGAAATCCGCAAACCCGGACTACCGGGCGCAGCCAATATGTGGATTACCTATTGCAAGCCGCTGGACACGGCCAATGATGCCTGCTGGCTGGTCAAGAAAGAACGTGCCAGGACCCCTGGCGGGTGCGGAATAGACTATCGACACAGGCCACTCGATGCAACCCCTTGCTCAAGCTGTGCTGGCATGTTGAGGGCGTTTCACAGAACAGCGCTGAATACGGCGTTGTTTGCAACCACGAAAATGATTCATACTTTGTTTACAAACATGGGGCCGAGAAACGAACCACGCTTGCCCAGGGCCGCATGAGAACGCAGCCCGAAAATGAGACTGATCTGTTTACAAGGAGATGCAACGCAACACCTTCAAATATCTGCCCGGCAAGACAAGACGTTGCCTGGCCGCATCAAGAAACGACCCCCCCGCACGTGCGAGTGAGACCCACACGCCCAAACGTTTCCGTCAGCGTGCAGAGCCCCACGCAGAGATGGCGCTGGACACCTCCTCGACGTCCTGGATAGAAAAACCATGCGGCAAGGAAGGCAGTGCCGAAGGGGGCTTACAGTCACACAAAGATTGTGTAGCAAAAAAAGACGTGGGACAAACAGAGGTGTGAGCGCGGGCGACTCCTCAAAGGGTTGACGAGAAACAAGTTGCTCTTGGCAGAGAAGCGGAAGCCTGTACAATTGTAGCAGAAATCAAAAACGGACGTGTGCCGTCGTAGCCGGTGGTGATGTGTATGTTCATGGATGACAGAGCACAGACAGAAGTTGTCGAACGCACGGTCATGCTTTGCGGATGGCTTCCAAGAAGTCGTCTTGAGCCCTTGTGGGGGTTGCAACACCGGGGCAGCGATCCTCTGGATCAACAACCGACCGGGGTATTAAAAGATAGTGATACCCTGTACTGTTGTGCACATGAAGTTTCTGGGACTTGAAGCCCGAACTCCTGCATCACAAGGCAGGGCCTCAAACACGGTGCACATCGAGAAACCCACACGCCGGAGCAGCACGACAGACAACACGACGCCACCCACATCATCGTCGTCTCGACCCCTGCGGCTGCTGCCGCCGGCCGAAGCCGTCGCCCAGGCCGGCAGCCGCCGCTTCTTCGCCCCGCCCCTCCCGCCGACGGCCGACGATGCCTCCGACACCTGAGAATCCCCCGCAGAAGCAGCGGCGGCCGCGGCAGGGCGCTTCCTTCCGCGCGATGTCGTCCCCGGGGCGGCTCGGGACGACCTGGCGGCTCGTTTCGGGGGCCCCCCCCCCCCCTGCGCGGGGGGGGGGGGGGGTACGCGAACAAATATGGGTGTAGGAAGCAAATTCGCGGGACGATTTCGACGAAAATGGGGCGTTCGTTAGCGGTGAGGCCCAGAAGACTTTTGGCCGTGCGACTACATAGGTTGTAGCCGTGCGACAAGTTATAGCTGATGCTAATGCTATCGACCGTGCCGATTGGAATGGGGCGGACCCTTCCAGAACGAAAATGTGACGTCTCGACCATGGCCGACAACGCCCACTGTCCAAGCAATGTTGACCCATAGGAAAACTGCGGGCACGGAGGAGGAGGAAAAGCGGAAAAAATCTAAGTGAACACCACTGCGAATGTAACAACCGTCCAACGCACCCAATGCCCTAGCCGCGACCTACCTACCCTTGGACCCTCTCACCCTCTCGGTATCCCCTTCTCTCCTCTCGCAAACAACAAACTGCACGGGAAAGAAAATCGCAACGAACACGAACTCTCCCTGACCTACCCGGTGTGGCTCGGCTTTTGGTCGGGGTGCGGCAACCAGCTAGGAAAGCAACCACCGCACACGCCTCGCTGCTGCTTGCGGGGCGCTTCTTCCTGTACCCCGGCCGCGCTCTCGGCACAACAGCGCCTTGTCCTGCCTAGCTGCAACTTGAAGCAGACAAAAATGAAGGCCTATCAGCTCGCTTCACTCCAACTACGACCAATGCAAGCTATCTCACCTTGCGCTTGCTCTTATTGCCCCTCCCCCTCCCCACCGCCTCCTCCTCCTCGTCCGCCTCAAACTCCGACGCTTCATCGCCATCATCGTCACCCACGAACTCCTCGTCATCGTCATCATCGATCTCGACGGGGTTGAAGCTGTCGGTGCCTCCGCCGCCCCTCCTTCTCCTCGGCGCCACCTCGTCCAGCTTTTTCAGCAAGAAACAGAGCGGGCGGTCAACGCGGCGTCACGCAGTGCAATGGAACTAGACTTGTTTCGGGAAACTAGGAACACAGTCGCGCATATTTTTCCATCACACAACGACACATCTACCCTCATCGGCCACCGTCAGCGGAGGCGAGGCGCTAGCAGCAGTCGCCGTTGAGAACCTGGAGAGGGGATGGCCTCGACGTCAACACGGACCCCACGTTAACTCTGAACATCAGTCGCCACCCACGCTTCCTTTCATCTCATAGTGAAAAAAACAAATGGCCCCGAGGACACAAAGAAGACAACGATAGCATTTAGCCCGATAAAAGGCAGTACTGCCATCATTTCGCTGCCGCTGGTTGTGGCCCAACGGCCCTGCAGGTTCCCAGCCCCATCACACCTTACACCTGGTTAACACACACAAGCGGCGCCTGCTCGATACGCTCTCCGTTCAATAATGCCAAAAATAAATCAACGCAAATTTCGAACCCACCTTTCACGTTCTGGCCCCAGTGCGGGAGGGCTGGGCAAAAAAAAAAAAAAAACTTGGATCGAAACGAGGTCATACTCGCCCGGAACAAACTATAACAATATCCGTGCTAGCCTTCGGATGGACAACAAAAGAACACACGAAATCGTGGACATGAACCAGCTAAGCTTCATCCAATACCTCGCTGCTGTCATCCCCGTCATCCTCCCGGTAGCTAACCCTAGCACGCCCGGCCCCGCGGGCGCTGGGTCTTCGTCCCGCCGCCGCAGGCTTCTGCGCTGCCACCCCCGCCGCCGCCGCCCCCCGCCGTCGACTGCTGGTGGCGGTGGATGCTGCGGCGGGAGCAGCAGCTCTCGATCCCCTACCCCCGCTGGACGCACTCCCCCGCTTGTTGGAGGACGTTTTGCTTCTGGGTTGGTCGAAATCGTCGTCATCGTCGTCGCCATCGTCCTTGTCGCTGTCGTCTGCTAGGTCGATGGCTGCCGCCTGGGGTTACGTAGACCGAAAGGGGGGGGTTAATATCTACGACATATACGAAACAAACGCGTTGTTTTTGCTTCGATAGTAGGCCAAAATGACCCGAAGCATTCATTTCGAGATGGGGAAAATGATCTTCCACCCCGACCGACTGGGATGCCGCTACCACCCGGGGTGCGCCCTCTGATGTGCTTGACCAAACTCTGACGTAATATGACGCCATGTAACCCGTGCGCCGTATTCTGGCACACCGCAAGGAGGAGGAGCGCAAGAGGAGGGTGATGGCCTTGGGTAGAATAAAAAATACAGCCACAGATCGAAAGCGTACAAGAAGAGAAGAGAGGCCCGCATCGGCGGACGATGAAAATGCCGAGCAATGATATTGGAAACATTTGTCAAGCAAACCTGAAATCCCTCCAACATCAACCAACTAGATGCCATGGTGACGCAGAGGAGTATGACATACCGCCCGCCCACCTTCTACTGCTTTTGACTCCTGCTACACGACTATTAATAGTGCACACGCCCGATTGATGTAGGCGATCTATTCACTCCCCCCCCCCGCCCCCCCAGGAAAATCTACGGAACGCTCCCTTCACGCACCTGCGACGCCGCCGACCTCCCCCTCCCCCCTGCACCACGCCTCTTCGCCACGGCCCCCACCATCTCCTCCTCCTCGTCATCCTCCTCCTCCTCCTCATCAGCGTTGACAGCAGCAGCCGTCGCCGCCGCCCCTCTCCTGCCCTTGCCGCCGCCGCCGCCGCCTTGATCGCTACTCCCTCCGCCTCCGCTTCGACCTCCTCCACCTCGGGTGCTCGTACCTCCGGCCGCCGGCGCCGGAGGCATACCCATGTCGTCGTCATCGTCGTCGATATCGCTAGGGACGTTGCTGCTGCCGCGGCCGTTGTTGCTGTTTCCTCCTCCCGTCCCGGAAGAGGGAGCGTTACGCTTGGCTGCAGCCTTGGCTCGCTCGGCGTTTCTGACCCTCTCAGCTTCGAGCTAACGCCAGGACGAAAGGGGGTTCCGGCGGCACGGGGGGGGTCGGTAAGGTGAACATTACAGGTGGCCGTGTGCACTTCTTCGCTTCTAAAAACGCAAAAGCACTCAATAAAAACATAAAGCACCCAATCTACAATGTGTACAACGCAAAATTTAACGCAGAGAGCGAGGAAAATGAATTACCAGGACCTATTTCCCCCTTCCTGGCAAACAATACAAGTGTGTTTGGTCCCGTGCTTTGCCCCTACAGAGGGTACGCGGCACTGTCGGCCAACCAGGCGCTAGGGGGCGGTTCGCGTGAACTAGCGTGACGGAAGTTTCATTGGTATGTTGAAAAACAAATTACGTATCGGCACGGAAACTGTCAATGATGACCCCTACCGCTGGCAGCTCACTGCCAGCTGTAACGTTTCCCAAGCTCAACAGCTCACACGGCTGACGTGTTGCGACTCGAAGAGCCCAGCGAATCTCAGCGAACTAAAAAAGAAGCATACACGAATGTGTATATATACATGTAGTCGCATGTTCTCTCATCTCGATCGCTCGCACCTCCCCCCGTTCTTTCTCGTTTCGCTTGCAAACAGCGTCGTCGATCAAGGCCGCGGTGCCGGCGGACCTCTCCTTCCGAAGGGCCTTCTGCGTGCCCTCGAGAGCTTCCTTCACCATGTCCGGCACTGCCTTTTGGGTAGGAATCGTGAAAAAAAAAGGTAAAAAACGACCGGAAAAGGGGCTCCGATGGGCTGTTGCGGAGGGGGTGTACCCATGCAAATGCGTGCCGTAGATGTTAGAACATTGACTGACCAAGCAATCCCTACAATGCTGGGGTGGGGCGATAGCCCCGGCTAGTTTCATATATAAGGACGAACCAGATTCTGGTCATCGTCCATGCGATTGCTGGGGGAGGGAGCGAATCAGGGTGTTGTTGTGGTGCGGCGGGGAGAATAGAAGTAGTGATCCGGTAGTGACAACATAGGAGGATATGGTAAGAGGAGACAGGGATGCGAAAAAGACGGAGGAAGAGGGTGTGGCACAGCGCCAAAACTTCACTTACGACCGACCCGATCTCCCACACAATCAACACCGGGGAGACAAAGAGCAGACCGTTGACGTAGAATAAAAAAACATACTCAGTACCAAACGAAAAAAAGGGGGAAGATGGTAGAACCAGCAACAGCAGGGCGCCTGGAGCAAAATAAGACCACACGAGAGAAAGGTAGAGACTTGGGTACACGTGTACACTATTCTTCATCTGTTACCAATTGTGTCTTCCATCCGGAGAACACCCTTCAATAGTGTCTCTCTGCCCACCGAGCCCGAGGTCATGGCCTTTCCTACGGTTGACGTTTTTTCGGCCGCGCTGAGAGTGGCGTATTTTCAATGGCGCACCGGTTGGCGCCATCAGTGCTACACCATGAACACACACACCGCTGCTACCGTTTCCGTCTTCAAGCCGGAGAGTGGCTTGGTCTGGTCTCCCCCATGATGCTCCCTCGCGGGGTCCCCGATCATGGCCTGTAGGACTACACTGTGTTTTCAACCGCACCGAGACTGGCGTCCTTTCATTGGGCAGCCGGTTTTAGCGCCATTGATGCCAATAATAAAACACACGCACACAGGTGTTTGCGTTTGTTATCCCGCTGTAAGACTGGTGTCTTTTCATTGGCCAGCTGGTTTGCGCGGTCCATGCCGAAAATAACAAAATACAACCACACCTGTGCGTCCTGTTTGTAGACATAGTCCTCGAGAGCCATCTTGAGCTTCGGCTCCACCAGAAGGGACAGCTTCTTGTCCGCGTTCTCCAGATTCTCAGTCACCAAATCCTGAAAAAAAAACATCATAAGGGGCGAATGCTTATACACCGCCACCAAATAGAGGGCGTGGTTCGTTATTTGTTGGTTGGCGTGACTTAGGCAAGGCATGAGTGAGATCGACTTGGAAGACTGGGCTGTCCCGAAGTGGATTGAAAATCCGGCTTATGTTCTCATGCAACTATAATCGCAAACTTGACAAAAAGAACGGGCTCGTGTTTTTCTGTATCTCGTTTCGAAAAAGCCCGGCCACGCCAGAAAAGTTGATCTTGTTCGGTTTGACAACTTCAGACGCAAGGCACAGGAACGGCAAACAGTTCCGAGAAAATCAGCAGCAACAACGACAACCACATCGCAATGACAACAATTCAAACACCACCACCAACACCACCACCACCAACAACAACAACAACATCAAGTACCAACACGACACATTGTAACGCATACCTCGACGCGAATATCGGCCAAGTTGTCCGGGCGGATCGGGTCCGAGAGGCCACCCGAACGGGACGACTTGCCCCCCCCCAGGGCCGAATCCCCCGCGGCACCCCCGCCCGCATTTCGCCGCCGGTAGAAGAGAAGAAGGTCGGAGGGGTTCGCCACCTGAATTTGTTTTTTTAAGGCGTTTGTAGTAAACAAAAAAAAAGGAGGGGGCGTTCGTAACAAAGCAGAGAGAAATATGCATTTACAACAAAAAACACCAGGCGTTTGCACAAAAAAACAAGAAGCGTAAAATCTTGAAAGACGCACCGGCATTGCGTTTGTACTAAAACGTTGAACGACCGAATTGGTTTTTAACTGAACTAGCAAAACATTTTACGCAGGGATAACCTGTAGGGCTGCCTTCTTTTGCGCATAAGGATAGGAGCTCTACTCTCTGCAATTTTCCGGATATTTCATACCCTAGGAAAGAAACACGATGTACGCACCAAGTCGGCGGTGTACGCATCAAGGCGGCGGTTGTCTCTGCGAGGAGTACGAGGTTGCGGAGATCTGGACTATCGTAGGTCTGTCTGGAAACTCCACGGTCTCATGACGAAAGGAATGGCAACGCGTGGGGATGAATGACAACCCGGCAATCTCCAAAGAAAATTGTGTTATTGTATGCATTCGCCCGCGACCACATGCAAAACGATCCCATCCCCCCTCTCCTGCACGTAGCCTGGGCCGGCGAAAAACGGGCATGTCACTCCGTCACGGCACGGCAGGGATGCGAGGTCAATGGTCAAACGAATACGGCACTAGTTTACATGAGTGCACCTCCGTACCTTGCCCATGAACTGGCTGCCAAAGCGCTGGTTGTTGAGGGTCGGGAAGTCCGAGTGCTCCACCTTCAGGCGCACCAAGACTTGATCTCTCTTCTCTATCTTGTACTGTTATCGTGATTTGCGGGAAACGGCGGCGGCGGGGGGGGGGGGGGCAAGGTTGAATCGGGCGATATTGTTGCACGCCAACAACTCCGCTGTACAACGAGAAACAAAACTAGGTGCGTTCCTGTTGTCCACACCTCTTTCTTCGCGAGGAGCAAACCGACCACGCGCCGGGGGTCGACAACGATGACGCACAGAGGGGTGTAGACCTTTCCAACGGTGGCACCCGACATGCAATAGGGACATGCATACTTTCATTCAGAGGGCAAAGAGCTGTTTTTTCCTCTTGACTACCCTACTCGTGCCTCTCAACAAATCAAATTACGCCGAATGTGAGCAAGCACGGTGTGTGTGTGCGCGCCCAATCCGCCCTCCAACCTTACACGCGGGGAGAGTATCGGTCTCAGTTTCACGGGCGGGCGGCGGAATAGGAGCGGGGGGGGGGGGGGGGGGGGGG